GATCAAACCCAGCTCTGCAGGGGGGGTCTGTGCTCCTGCCAGCCTTGGCAGCTCCCTGGTGTCCCTGAGGAGCATCCCCCGTGTTTTCCGAGGCCCAAAGCAGCTCTGGCAGCGTTGGGGAATTCTCTTGGCTGTCCCAGTGTTATTATAACAGGTTTGCATTCTGTCTTTTCTCCCCCCCTCCCTCATTTCTCCTCCCCTGAGCCACTGAGATCCCTCCATTCCCACTCCAGGGGTTCAGTGCAGGCTGATCCTGTCCTAACTGCACCCCTGAAGGTTCATCATCCCCTCCCCTGTGCTCCCCATCTCTGCCTCCTCCTGCATCTCCTCACCCCCAAGTGCAGTGGAAGTGGTGGTGACCCACATTCATGGATATTTAATGCTCCCAGACAGAGACAGCTCCTGGATTGCAGCTGGAATTGCCAGGCTGCTCTCCAGAGCCTGCCATCCACAGCCAAGTGTCTCTCCACGTCCTGTGTCCGTGGGGAAGTGATTTGGGATGGGGTCAGGAGGGAGCTGGGGCTGGCCCAGAGCCTCATTGCTCTGGGTGTCCTGCCTGGAGCTGCTGCGCTGGAGAGCGAGACTTCCCTGGATTCTGCCCTGGGAGGGTGGGCAGGCCCTGGCACAGGTTGGGCAGAGAAGCTGTGGCTGCCCCTGGACCCCTGGAAGTGTCCAAGGCCAGGCTGGACGGGGCTTGGAACAGCCTGGGCTGGTGGGAGGTGTCCCTGCCCATGGCAGGGGGGGGCACTGGATGAGTTTTGTGGTCCCTTCCCACCCAAACCGTTCTGGGGATCTCCCAGCTGGTGCCTGTGAGAGCCAAGGCCGTGTCAGAGGCTCCTGGCAGGGCAGCAATCTGGTTTTCCCAATGGCTTTGGTGTGGGGCTCTGGCCTTGCTGAGACCCTGCTTGTGCTCAGGGCTGGCCCCTCACACCAGAGACACAGGGAGGGGCTGGAGCGTGGGCAGGGAAGGGAACGGAGCTGGGAAGGGGCTGGAGCAGCAGGAGGGGCTGAGGGAGCTGGGGGGGCTCAGCCTGGAGAAAAGGAGGCTCAGGGGGGACCTTCTGGCTCTGCAACTCCCTGACAGGAGGGGGAAGGCTCAGGTTGGATCCTGGGGACAATTCCCACATGGAAAGGGCTGTCCAGCCCTGGCACAGCTGCCCAGGGAGATGGTGGAGCCCCATCCCTGGAGGGATTTAAAATGCCTGAGGATGTGGCACTTGGGGACTGGGTCAGTGGTGGCCTGGGCAGTGCTGGGGCATGGTTGGACTCCATGGTCTCAGAGGGCTCTTCCAGCCTCAGTGATTCCAGGATTCTCTGCTGTGTTTTGAGGGTTCTTTTATTGCTGGATGTCTCAATCCTGCCCCGTGGAGCCCCGGGCAGGGCTGGTGTTGGAGCTGGGGCAGAGGGGTGGGACATCCACGGCCCTCCTGCTGGGAGCCAAACCCCCCAGCTCCCGGGGTGGGTGCAGCTCTGCCCCTGCCAGCGTGGCAAAGCCACCATCCCAGCTGGTGCCAGCCGAGGAGCGACCTTGGGAGCCACCAGCAGGGCTCGGGTTAATCAGTACCATCGAGGGCTGATGAGGGGACTCCTGGCCCGTCAGCCGAGCGTGGGCAGAGGGCAAACAAGGTTGTTTTTCCTCTGCTCGCTTCCATGGGGAAGGGGCTGGGGAGTTTTCTGCCTCCTGGCTCGTCCCGAGCCCGGTGGGAGAAGGTTCTTCGTGTCGTACCCTCTCTGTGCCTAAGGAGATCTAAAGGGAGCAGTTGTTTTTCCTGTTAGGAGACGCTGGGGCTATAAATCTGTATTTATTTTTTTTCCCCTCTTTGGACACCTAATTGAATCTTCCAGCCAGATTAATGTTGTTTTCGAGCCATTTGTGTCCGTAAATCCCATAAGGGCTCCAGACAGCCCGTCTTGTCTGCGACGGCACCGCGGCCACCAGGCCTGGCTCTGCCTCTTGGGGGGCACAGGAGGCCCCATCCAGGTGCCAGTGACAGGAGTGTGGATGCTGCCTTTGCTCTTTTCTGAAGGAGTTCCCACCCGAATCCCCAGGGAGGCGTCAGGGCTGGCTTGGCTCCCTCCTGGAGCCGTGGCTGCAGACACGGTGCTGTTTGCTCAGACCAGTGCCTGGCTGCTCTGGGAGGGGGAATAAAATCCTCCTGGGCACTTCTGCTTCTCCTCTGGCCTTCTCTCCCTGAAAACGAGGCAGAAATCCCAGCCCAGGCCGGTGGGACTCACTGGTGGTGATGGAAAAGCCCCCCCTGGGAGGGTGTGAGTGGCCAGAGCGGTGTGTGCAGACCCAGGATGCAGAAGGTGACGCTCTGGTGAGGGGATGACGCAGCTCCAACACCCTCTGTGGCCTCCCAGGCAAAGAGGGGGAAGGGGCAACTCCGGGAATGTCCGTGGGGAAGAAACCCGAGGGGGAAAAGTAGCCTGGGGGAGGCTGGGCAGGGTTCTGCCCCTGAAGTGCCTGCAGCTCGTTGGGATTCTGGAAGTGCCCATCCTGGGCAGTGTCCTGGGTGTCCCCAGCGCTGTCCCAGAGGGTGGCAGCCAGCCTGGCACCAGAGCCAGCCCCTCAGGGTGTCCCTTGAGCTGGCACAGAGAGCATCCTGCCAGGAGACTGCCCGGAGCTGGGGGGGTCAGGAAGGATCTAAAGCTACGGGAGAGCGTCCAGGGGGCCTAAAAAAGGTGGGGAAGGGTCTGGGGGGGAAACCACGAGGAGGGACTGAGGGTACTTGGCCTGTTCAGCTGGAGAAGAGGAGACTGAGGGGACACCCGTGGGGGTCTGCAGCTCCTCCCAAGGCCAGCACTGATCTCTGCTCCCTGGGACCAGGGACAGCACCCAGGGGACGGCTGGAGCTGTGCCAGGGTGGGTCAGGCTGGATCTCAGGGAAAGGCTCTTCCCCCAGAGGGTGGCTGGCACTGAACAGGCTGCCCAGGGAATGGGCACGGCCCCGAGGCTGCCAGAGCTCAGGGAGGGTTTGGACAACGCTCTGAGGGACAGGGGGGCACTGCTGGGGTGTCTGTGCAGGGCCAGGGGTTGGACTGGATGATCCCTGTGGGTCCCTTCCAGCTCAGGACATTCCCTGATGCTGTGGTTGCATCAACAAACCCCTGCCCCTCCCTCAGGAAGCGAGGTCTGTCGAGCTCTTTGAGCTCTGCAGGAGAGGGGGGGGGAACTTGGGACCACGGGAAAAGCTGCCTTTTGACTGCTATCCCCGGTCTTTGCAGGGAGAGGGGAAAGCTTCCCAAGGCACGAGCCTGGAAAAGCTTCCCGAGGTTCCTTCCGGGCACGGAGGCTCCGCAGCCTCCCCCGCCTCGCTCCCAGCCCCGCGTCTGTTTTCTTGTCCCGGGTTGTTTTGGGGATAATGAGATTAAATCAGACCCTCCTCCTCCTCCTCCTCCCCCTAACTGGCGGCTCAAATCCTATTACCCCGTAAAGCTTTTGGAATTCTGCCTCCCAAAATTGCGTTAAGCCGGGCTGGAAATGCCTCGTGGCTTAATCCCTCTCCTCCCTGCGGCATCCACGTCGGGGTTTGCTGCTGCCTGCTCCGCAGCTCCTGTGGGATTGCTGGCGTGGGGATGGCAGCCCTGGGGCTGAATCCCGTGGGGATGGGCTGATCTGGCACGGGGAGGGGGCACAGAAATCCTTGCCAGGGATGGGATTCACCCCGTTGGGAGCAAACGCTGTGAGGGGGGAGCCCAGCGAGAGCCGGGGCCCCTCCCCGCTCCTGGGACCCCTCCCCGCCCCTGGGACCCCTCCTGGTGGGTGTCACTTGGCCCTTTCCCACCACTTCCTCCCCAGCTTTGGGAAGGGACCTGCTGCTTCCAGGGAAAATGAGGAGCAGAGAGGAGCGACCCGTGGGTGCAGTGACGGGGCTGGATCAGGGCCAGGGGTTGGGTGGGGACACAGAGCTGCTCCCCTGGGGAGGGGGTTCCTTTTAGCAGCCAAACCAAACTTGGGACCTGCTGGAGAGAGCCCAGAGGAGGCCCCGGAGCTGCTCCCAGGGCTGGAGCCCCTCTGCTCTGGAGCCAGGCTGGGAGAGCTGGGGGGGCTCACCTGGAGAAGGGAAGGATCCAGGGAGCCCCTTCCAGAGCCTGCAGGGGCTCCAGGAGAGCTGGAGAGGGACTGGGGACAAGGCATGGAGGGACAGAACACAGGGAATGGCTGTGGCTGCCCCTGGATGCCTGGAAGTGTCCAAGGCCAGGTTGGAGCAGCCTGGGCTGGTGGGAGGTGTCCCTGCCCGTGGCAGGGGGTGGCACTGGATGATATTTATTCTCCCTCCCCACTCAGACCAGTGAGGTTCTGTGGCTGGGACTGGACTCGAGCAGGTGCCCCTGCTGGGGGGGTTTGTCCCAACCACGGGGACTGAGGGAGGGTGGGCAGCAGGTTCTGCCCCTCCCAGCCCTGAGTGTGTGAGCCGAGGAGTTCCCTGGGCTGTGGAATTTTCTCGGGATTCTTATCAAAGTGTTCCTCTCGGGGAAGAGGACTTTGGCCAGGGCGATCTGTGTCAGAAGGGCAGTGGGAGCAGATGGCAGCTCGTGCTGCTCTCTGGAGCCAAAGGATGTTTAACTTCCTGACCGGAGTTGTCTCGTGCCTGGTCTCGGCCTCTGATTTGCATTTTGATCTTTATTTTCCCCACCACAAACAACGCAGCCCTTGCTCATCAAGAGAGCATCTCCCACTGTGGGGACCCCAGCACTGTCCTCCTGCAGCCCCCTGGACACCCCCAGCTGTCCTTGGTGGGACAGCCCAGCGCTGAGGGCGCCTGGGGACACGGGCACCCTGTCAGATGGACAAAGTGCCACCCCACAAAGGGCCTGTGGCGTGGCCCTGGGGGCGCAGCGTTGGCTGAGTGTCCTTGGGTGTCCTTCCAAAAACCGTGGTGGTGGGAACTGTCCCTGCTCTTCTCCTGGGGCTGCTCCCCTGGTGTGAGGTGTGACCAGGAGCCCGTGGCCACTGGAGCTGGGGGGGGGGGTCCTTTTTGGGGTGTTCACACCGTTTTTGGCGTGTTCACACTGTTTTTGGGGTGTTCACACCGTTTTTGGGGTGTTCACACCGTTTTTGGGGTGTTCACACCGTTTTTGGGGTGACTCCGGCCTTGACCCGAGCGCTGCTGCGGCACCGAGGCCGGGGTGGTTTCTGTCCTCGTGGAAAAAGCTCAGAGTGTTCCTGGAACAGCAGTGACAGGACAAGGAGTGACGGGTACAGATTGCAGGAGGGGAAATTCAGGTTGGATGCTGGGAAGGAGTCCCGTGCTGTGAGGGTGGTGAGAACCCCTGGAACAGGCTGGGGATGCCCCGACTCTGGAAGTGTTCCAGGCCAGGCTGGAATGAGGGGGATCAGTGGGAGTTGTGGTGGAGGGGCTGGGACCAGACGGTCCTTAAGGTCCCTTGCAACCCCTTAACCCTCCATGGTTTCTGGATCCCTGGCTTTTCCCGAGTGTTTCTGAGCCCTGACTGGTGGTTTTGTTCCCTCTGTGGTCCCCAGTACAGCGCCGTGGACAGCAACCCCCTGTCCCTGTACGTGATGCACCCCTTCTGGAACACCATCGTCAAGGTGAGCCCCCTCAGCCGCCCCTGGGACACCCTCAGCTGCCTCCTTGGGGGTGCCCCTACCCCCCAGGGGCTGCCTGCAGCCTGCCTTGAATCCCTGCATCCCAGTTCATGATTCCTGCTGCTTGGGATGCTCGGGATGCTCCCGCGGTGCCGGAGCAGCACCTGCCCCCTCGCCAGAACTCATGTTCTAACGAGTTCCTCCTCCTCCTCCTCCTGCTGCTTGCCCACAGATCTTCCCCACCTGGCTGGCCCCAAACTTGATAACCTTCTCTGGCTTCCTGCTCCTCGTCTTCAACTTCTTCCTCATGGCGTACTTCGACCCGGACTTCTACGCCTCCGGTAAGGCTACGAGTTCCCAGGGGTGGATCCTGCCAAGGCTGCGAGTTCCCAGGGGTGGATCCTGCCAAGGCTGCGTGTTCCCAGGGGTGGATCCTGCCATGGCTGCGTGTTCCCAGGGCTGGATCTGCCACCTGGCAGTCCCAGCACAGCTGGGTGAGGCCCCTGGGCCTTCCCAAGTGACCGGGACAGAGCAGGGGGTTGGACCCGCTGGGCTTCCTGACAAGGATTTGTCTGGGTACAGCACCTTCCCTCGGGCTGGAATGTGCTCCTGGGGTGGGGAGAGGGAGGGGCAAACGGCTGGAATCTTGGGCAGCAGTTGGCTCTTCCCACACAGCAGACAACAGCCTTGTTGTAAGATGCCAGGGTGACGTGGGAAACGCTGCTTCCCTGGGATGAGCGGCCTCGTTCCTCACGTCCCTGCTCCCTGACTGGCCAGGCCACACATCCTCCTCCTCCTCAGCCTCGCTGCTCGCAGCTCTGAGCTGTCCAGCAGTGCCCACGTGCACCTGCCTGCGATTCCAGAGGCCCAGGTGTCCCTTCCCTCGTGGCACAGTCCCAGGGGAAAGGCTTACAGTGATAATTCTCACTGGATCCCTCTCCGTGTTTCGTCTCCCTTTGCCCCCGCCAGGGTTGGGTTGGGTTGCTCTGGAGAGCTCATCTTGTTCTTCTAAAACTGGGCCCACTGCTAGGTGGGAAAACCCTGGTTTTGTGGGAGTGCCCCTGTGGGTGGGTGGGCAAGTCCAGGCTGGGGAGAGCTCAGGTGGCATCAGGGGGTGTTTTTGCCCACATTTGGGCTGTGTTTTGGTCCTTGAGCCATGAAAGGAAAGCTGACAGTAGGGCAAGGGGAGAATCCCCAGGGCATCAGATGTCCAGAATCAGGGAATTACAGAATGGTTTGGCTTGGAAGGGACCTTCAAGATCCTCTAGTTCCACCCCTTGCCATGGGCAGAGACACCTTCCACCAGCCCAGGTTGCTCCAAGCCCCGTCGAGCCTGGCCTTGGACACTTACAAGGATCCAGGGGCAGCCACAGCTTCTCTGTGCCGGGGCCTCACTGCCCTCACAGGGAAGAATCCCTTCCCAAAATCCCATCTCTCCCTGCCCTCTGGCAGTGGGAAGCCATTCCCTGTGTCCTGTCCCTCCACTCCTTGTCCCCAGTCCCTCTGCATCTCTCCTGGAGCTCCTGCAGGCTCTGGAAGGATCTCTCAGGTCTCCCCAGAGCCTTCCCTTCCCCAGCTGTCCCAGCCTCTCAGAAGCTGCCTTTGGAGGGCTGGGGAGGCTCGTGCTTTGGGCCCTTCCTCACACGTGTTCTGCACGTCCCTCTTGGAAAGAGAACCTTTCCCTGTGCTGATGGAGCCTCCAGAGCCTTGATTTGGGGGGATCTGGGGACAGAGGAGAAGTTAAATCCCAGAAGGAAAAGCCCTCGAGTGCCCTGGTTCCGTGGGCTGTTGTGGAGCAGCTCTGCCATCACATCCCGAGAACTCTCACACCCCAGTGTCACTGAGCCGTGCAGGTGCTTTGCCTTGGCCCTGGGCTCTGCCTCCTGGGCCAGAACAAACCCCCTGGGAGCTGGTCCTGAGCTGTCTGTGTGATCCCTGCAGCTCCTGATCACCAGCACGTTCCCAACGGAGTGTGGATCGTCGTGGGGCTCCTCAACTTCATGGCCTACACGTTAGGTAAGAGTTCTCCTGCTGGCTGGGCTGCCTGTCACCTGAGCCCCCTGGGAAATGCTGGGTTCTGTCTCCTGCCAGGCACTCATCCAGCGGCTCCTGGGTCTGCTGGAGCAGCTCCTGGGAGCTGCTTTGCAGGGTGGAGAGAAGGAAGTTGTCCCAGAGCAGCAGATGAGGAAAGGAGGAAACTGGAACCGAGACAAATTTGAGATAAATTGTGAAATTCTGTCTTGGGTCTGCTTTAAATTGTCAGGAATCCCAGACTGGCTTGGGTTGGGAGAGACCTTAAAGCTCATCCAGTGCCACCCCCTGCCATGGGCAGAGACACCTCCCACCAGCCCAGGTTGCTCCAAGCCCCATCCAGCCTGGCCTTGGACACTTCCAGGGATCCAGGGGCAGCCACAGCTTCTCTGCCCAACCTGTGCCAGGGCCTGCCCACCCTCCCAGCCAGCAATCCCTTCCCAATCTCCCATCTCTCCCTGCCCTCTGGCACTGGGAAGCCATTCCCTGTGTCCTGTCCCTCCATTCCTTGTCCCCAGTCCCTCTCCAGCTCTCCTGGAGCCCCTTCAGGCTCTGGCAGGTGCTGCTTTAAGGAACAGAGAGCAAATAGGAGGCAATAAACACAACCCTGTGGGGCTGTTGCGTTCCCAGCCTCCCCTGGAGCAGGGGCTGGGTGGGACCCCCCCCACTCCCCGTGGAGGGTGGAGGTGGTGGCATCGCTGTGTGTGTGTGTGTGGGAGGGTGTCCAGGATCACTCCCTGCTCCCTCCCCTCCTCCCAGACGGGGTGGACGGGAAGCAGGCGCGTCGCACCAACTCCAGCACCCCCCTGGGAGAGCTCTTCGACCACGGGCTGGACAGCTGGGCCTGCGTGTACTTCGTGGTCACCGTCTACTCCACCTTCGGCCGCGGCTCCACCGGCGTCAGCGTCTTCGTGCTCTACCTCCTGCTCTGGGTGGTCTTGTTCTCCTTCATCCTCTCCCACTGGGAGAAGTACAACACGGGCATTCTCTTCCTGCCCTGGGGATATGACATCAGCCAGGTGGTGAGTTTTGCCACCCCCTCCCCACAGCCCTCAGGGGTGCTCCCCCCTGCTCTGCTCCGGGAGCCCCTGCAGATGGAACCCCCCCCCCCGAGGAGTCTGTCCTGCCCCTGCTGCTCTGCCCACCTCAGCCGGGGCCTGGGGCACTCTGCCCTGTGGGTAAGTTCGAGGCTGGAGGTCCGGGAGGCCTTTTGGGACCTGCTGGGACGGGTGCCAAAAGCACAGCGGGGGTTAATTGGCTTGTTAATTGCTGTGTTCCCGGGGAGGTGTCCCCCCCCCCCCATACCCTGGTGCCTGAGGCTGATGGGGATGGACCCTCTGGGGTGCCGGGGTGTCCACCCCTCGTTAGGGGATTCTCTGCAGGAAGCTCTTTGTGAAGACAGCTGGGCTGAGACAGATCCCCTGCACTGCTGGCAGTGCCTCCCACTCTCCCAGCTTGCTCCAGGCCCTGCCCAACCTGGCCTTGAACAATTCCAGGGGATGGGGCTGACAGCCTGTGCCCCTGTTTTACCGCCCCCTCGTTGTAAAAACCCCTCTTCCTCATAGCCGATTGCACCCATTTGATTTATCTTCTGGCTCATCAGACGCTGGGTGGGAAGTGCAGCGGGCTGGGAGGGGAGCTGAGTGAGTGCAGCTGCTCTGCAATGATCATCTGTCCTCCTGAAGGCCACGGGGGCTGAACCCCAGGCACGCTCTGGGCTCTTTCTCCACAAGTTGCTCCACGCCCGTGCTTGCAGAAGGGCAGGGCTGGAGGGCTGAGCTGCCCCTGCAGCGTCTTCCACCAGTTCAGGGGGGGCTGGCGAAGCTGAAATACTCCCTGTGAGCTCTGCCCTGTAATCCAGCAGCAGATGGAGGAGAAAAGTGTCCCTGAGTGAACCCTCCTGGGTCGCTGGAACTTGTGGTGTGGAAGCTGCCACTGTGCTTGGGACACCTCCTGAGTTCCAGCTCAGCGAGGGCGTCCCTGGCTCCTGGTCCTGTCCTTCTCCAGGAATCACTGAGGTTGGAAAAGCCCTCTGAGACCCTGGAGTCCAACCATCCCCAGCACTGCCCAGGCCACCGCTGACCCATGTGCCCACGTGCCACATCCACAGGGATTTTAAATCCCTCCAGGGATGGGGATTTACCACCTCCATGGGCAGCTGTGCCAGGGCTGGACAGCCCTTTCCATGTGGGAATTCTCCCCAGGATCCAACCTGAGCCTCCCCCTTCCTGTCAGGGATTGCAGAGCCAGAAGGTCCCCCCTGAGCCTCCTTTTCTCCAGGCTGAGCCCCCCCAGCTCCCTCAGCCCCTCCTGCTGCTCCAGCCCCTTCCCAGCTCCGTTCCCTTCCCTGCCCACGCTCCAGCCCCTCCCTGTGTCTCTGGTGTGAGGGGCCAGCCCTGCCCCAGCACAGGGAGGGCACTGCCCGATGCAATCTCAGCTCGCTCTGCTTGCCCCTCCTGCCATGGAGGGGTTTGTGGGTTTATTTTTCCCCTCCCTGGGGTGGGTAGGGCTGAAGGTGCCTTGGCACAGGTGGTGCCAGCCCCAGGGCCCTCCCATCTCCCGTCCTCCCAGCCCTGCTCTCCTCACACCCCCCTGTCCTGTGCTCTCTTTCAGACCATTTCAATTGTCTACATAGTGACAGCCTTTGTGGGAGTTGAGGCCTGGTATGCACCTTTCCTGTTTAATTTCTTATATAGAGACCTATTCACTGCAATGATTATTGGTAAGAAACTCCATGTTGAAGCCTGTCTTTTAAAACTCCACCCTTTTTTAACCGAGCCAATGTTTAATATGCCGTGCTAACGCTGCTCTGTTTGCTGCCAAGGGGAGCTGCTGGTGGGCTGGTGTTGAGGTGACTAATGCAGGGTGTTCTCACAGCCTTTCCCTTCCCCAGCCTTGCAAAAACAGCACTGTTGTCTCCTGCAGGGTTATTTTGGGAGAGCTTAACTCCCCCCCATCTGTTGGGTTGCAGGGAGAGCCCTGGGGGGAGGGGTTTAGGGGATAAAACCAGTGGGATAAAAGCCAAGTTTTGAAGGGACAAAGCCCCACGTGCAGGTGGGTGCTGTGGACCTGGCACCCAGTGGAGCCTCCCCTGGTTTTTGGGGGCTCAGGACACTCCTGCTTTGCTGCTGTTTGGGGATCCTGCCCTCCATCCGCCCACCTTGAGCACTGAACAAGAGCTGTAATAACAATAAAACCGAAATAAGAGCCCAGCCTGTCTCTCCTGTGGTCGGTCAGAAGAAGCTGCTGCAAAGAGCAAGAGCTGAGCTGACCTTGTTGACTCGTTCACGAGTTCCTGCTGAGTTTATTTGCCGTGTTCTTTGTAATTTATTGTTTCATTTCGAGTTAATTGGTGTGCTGGGCGTGGTGCTTGCACTTCTGTCAGGTGGATGTTCTGAGCTTCCCTGTGGCAGCCACGTAGCTTGACTCGTGAATGATAAATGTGCTTCTCCAGTGGGAACAGCAGAGCCCCAGACCCCATAACTTCCCATGGGAATGATAAAGATAACTTTGCTTCTCCAGTGGGAACAGCAGAGCCCCCAGACCCCATAACTTCCCATGGGAATGATAAAGATAAATGTGCTTTTCCAGTGTGAACAGTAGAACCCAGTGCCCCCACGGGCAGGATTTGGGGTAGGAGGTGGGTTATTAAGGCAGGAGTTGTTTCCAACCCTGCTAAAATTCCTTCAGCTGGATGAGCAGGGCAGGGGTTGTGCTGGGCTGTCATGGATAAAGCGGTTGGTGGTTTGTGTCGTTTATCTAGTTAAAATGACAATTTTTTTTGTTCAGGGGGGGGCACTGTGGGCACTGGAAGTGTTTGCACACAGCTGGAGAAGCTGCAGATTGCCCTGATTGTGAAGGCACAAGGAATCTTGGGCTCAGCCCCTCATCCCTCGTGGCGTTCCACTCACCCCATGGCTCTGTTAGAGCTGTGCTATAATTAAACTTTCTCCCTGTCTTAAAGCACAATGCTCGTTAATGCAGCCCTTTCGAATGGAAATGTATTTAATTCATAGCAGACCTGAGTTTTTAATTACAGCCCTTGGTCCAGAGGCAGGAGCACCCGCTCGTGAAGGTGCCCGAGCCGCTCGTGGGGCGCCCTCGGAGCACCCAAAACAGGCCCAGGGGGCACGTGAGGGACCCTCTGTGAGGGCACTAACAGGGTGTGTGTTCTTTTCCAGCCTGTGCTCTCACTGTGACGCTGCCCATGAGCCTCCACAACTTCTACAAGTGAGTCTTTGGAATCCCAGCCTGGGTGAGGGGAGAAGGGACCTTAAATGAATCCAGTGCCACCCCCTGCCACGGGCAGGGACACCTCCCACCAGCCCAGGGTGCTCCAAGCCCTGTCCAGCCTGGCCTGGGACACTGCCAGGGATCCAGGAGCAGCCACAGCTTCTCTGGGAATTCCAGCCCAGTCCCTCCCCACCCTCCCAGCCAGGAATTGCTTCCCAATCTCCCATCCATCCCTGCCCTCTGGCAGTGGGAAGCCATTCCCTGTGTCCTGTCCCTGCATTCCTCGTCCCCAGTCCCTCTCCAGCTCTCCTGGAGCCCCCTCAGGTATTTACTGGAGGCAGGACCAGGGATCTCCCACTGATCCCACGTGTTTTCCTCTCTTTCCTTGTGTTGCAGGGCCTATAAAAACAACACCCTGAAGCACCACTCTGCGTATGAAATCCTGCTGCCCCTCGTGTCCCCAGTGCTGCTCTTCCTGCTCTGCACCACCTGGGTCTTCCTGTCCCCCACGGACATCCTGGAGGTCCAGCCCAGGCTCTTCTACTTCATGGTTGGAACAGCCTTTGCCAACATCTCTGTGAGCAGCTTTTGCTTTGTGCTTGAGGAAGTGCAGTGTTGGTTAAATGGAGAGTTCTCAGAGGCTCAGGCACCCTCTGTGTGTGCTGTGAGCACCAAAGTGCTGATGGGAAGGGAGCTCCTGCTTCCTTTTTTGGGGGTGGGGACTCATTTTTTTGGGGTCAAAATCCGATCTAGGTGCATACCCACAGATTTGCAGAATCCTTAAGGTTGGGAAAGGCTTTTAAGATCATCAGGGCAAGCCATTCCCCCAGCCCTGAGCCACGTCCCCGAGTGCCACATCCACAGGCATTTTAAACCCCTCCAGGGATGGGGATTTACCACCTCCATGGGCAGCTGTGCCAGGGCTGGACAGCCCTTTCCATGCAGGAATTGTCCCAAATCTCCTGATGTCCCCCCTGCCCCTCCCCTGGCCCAGCTGGAGGCCGTTCCCTCTCCTCCTGTCCCTGTTCCCTGGGAGCAGAGCCCGACCCCCCCAGCTCCCCCCTCCTGTCAGGGATTGCAGAGCCAGAAGGTCCCCCCTGAGCCTCCTTTTCTCCAGGCTGAGCCCCCCCAGCTCCCTCAGCCCCTCCTGCTGCTCCAGCCCCTTCCCAGCTCCGTTCCCTTCCCTGCCCACGCTCCAGCCCCTCCCTGTGTCTCTGGTGTGAGGGGCCAGCCCTGCCCCAGCACTGGGGGTGCCCCAGCAGTGCCAGCACAGGGAGGGCACTGCCCTGGCCCCGCTGCCACATCCCCTGCGCCCTGGGGACGGAGCTGGGGTGCCCGAGGAGCCCTCCCTGCGCTCAGCCCCCGCTCCCTGTGCCCCGCAGTGCCAGCTGATCGTGTGCCAGATGAGCAGCACGCGGTGCCGGCCCCTGCACTGGATGCTGGTGCCCATCGCCGCCGCGCTGCTGCTCGTGCTGTCGGGGCTGGCAGCCCGGGCCGAGGCGCTGCTGCTCTACCTGCTGACGGCCTTCCTCACCCTGGCACACGTCCACTACGGCGTCGTCGTGGTAGGTGCCCCTCCGGGAAACCGGGAAAGTGGGAGTGGGAACGGCTGGTGGGGAGCTGGAAACACGAATCGTGCAATGCCGGGGGTGGTTCGGGCGGGAGGGGGCTCAGAGCTCACCCCCTGCCGTGGGCAGGGACGCCTCCCACCAGCACAGGTTGCTCCAAGATCCATCCAACCTGGCCTTGGACAGAATCCCTTCCCAGTCATCTCCCATCTCTCCCTGCCCTCTGGCAGTGGGAGGCCGTTCCCTGCGTCCTGGCCTTGTCCCCAGTCCCTCTCCAGCTCTCCTGGAGCCCCTTTGGGCTCTGGGAGGGGCTCTGAGGTCTCCCAGTGAGGTCTCCGAGGTGCTGGGAGAGCCAGGATGGAGGGGGGATGTCTCTGGTGGGGAAGGTGGGAACGCTGGGGCTGCAAGGCCACCTCCCCTGCTGCCAGGGCTGAGATCCAGGGACTGATTTGCTCCTCTTGCTGTGCCTGGCTCCCTGAGTTTGGATTGAGAGAAGGGCCAGATCCCATCAGGAATGCCCCAGGAAGCTGCTGAGGAAGGAGGACGAGGAACCCCTGTCCCCTGCCCAGCTGGGGACACCCTCCTTGGGAAGCCCCTTCCCCTGGGAAGCACAGCCCTAACGTGGAGCCCGAGTGGAGCTCCAGCTGTAATTACAGCCAGGAGTAATAGGCAGGTTGTCTTGTCTTTCCAATTAGGGTAAAGAGGCTTCTGTGCAAGAAGGATTTGAGTTAACTAAGAAGCTTAAAAGAAATTTGGCCTTGGAATCACAGCTGGAGATGGGATTGAGCGGGTGGGGAAATCCTCCTGCCCAGGTCTGCCCATCCCCTCCCAGGAGCTCCCCGGGGACCGTTCCCCTCCTTCCCTCTCTCCAGCTTCCCAGGGGCCCATCTGTCTCTTCTTCCAGGATAAAAGTCACTTGGAGCTGAGGAGCCTTTAAAGGCTTTCTGACTGGGGCATGACCCCAAACTGCTCTGAATTTGGGGGGAATGATCAGCGACAAACCCAGCTCAGCCTCCTCCTGCAGGAAGTGTCCTTCCCCCCCAGTCTGAATGGATTCAGGGATTTTATTATACAGAAATCCGAGATACCAAATTCCTTTCAGCAAAGCAATGGAAGCAACGCTGGGAGGAGCAGAGAGGGTGAAAAGTGTGAGGGGGGAAAATCCTGCAGGCCTGGGCTCGGGGCAGAATTCCCGACCCCTGCCCTTCAGGAAGGGAGGAGCAGAAGCAAACCCGATCCCAGGAAGGCCAGGCCGTTCTTTGGGGAGGTGTGGGGAGGCAGCAGGGCTGCTCCTCGTGGAGCCAGTGCCTGGCCAGCCCCATCCCCAGGGACACAGGGCTGGGCAGGGTGTGGATCCGTGGGGAGCGGGTGGGGTGGGCGCGGGGTGGGGTGGCAGGGGTGTTGTTTGGGGAGCGGCTCTGTCCCTCTGCCCACCTGGCTGAGCCAGCCCCGTGGCGTGTGCCCTGTCCCCAGGTGAGCCAGCTGAGCAGGCACTTCAACATCCGGCCCTTCTCCCTCAAGAAGCCCACGCCGGACTGACTGGGGCTGGAGGAGGAGCGAGCGGGCCTGCGCGCCGCAGAGGGACTGTAAATACCTGCTGCCCACCCCTGTAAATACTCCGGTCCCCACAGACCCCCCCAGCTCCCCCCTGGACGGGCACAGGGCCGGGACACGCTGCCCGGGCAGGGCTGGAGCGGGAGGAGCCCCGCAGGTCACCGCTACTGTATCTCAGACCAGCTGAATGTTCCCGGGAAAACCAGCCCGGCCCTTGCTCAGGTAAAGCTGCTTGGGGGTGCAAAGGCTTTACCTGAGCAAAGCCCCGGGGCCTGGCACCAAAACCAACACGGGGCTCTCTTCTCCCAGGTCAGGGGGATGTGCTGGTGGGCAGGGGGGAGTGCCTGGCTGTCCCTGACCCTGCTGGACAGCCCCTTGTCCTGGCTGTCCCTGACCCTGCTGGACAGCCCCTTGTCCTGGCTGGTACCTCTAGAGCAGATGGGGACAGCTCTGCCTTCCTGATTTTGGGGCAAATATTGCACCTTTTTGGTTTTTTTTGGGGGGGGAAACCCCAGACACACACAAAACTTGCAGTTAAATCCTGGTTGGGGAATGGGGAAAAATTCTCTGTAGGAGTGGGACTGTGGCTTCTGCCTGCCCTGCTCGAGCTGTGGGTGCCTGGGCCCACACCTCAGCCGTGTTTCTGCCTGTCCATGGATGCTCCCAGTCCAGGAGTGGGCTCTGGGCTCCACAGGCAGTGTCTGAGGCCCCAGAGCTGAGCTCCCACGTCCTCCAGCCCAGCAGGACTTTGCAGTTGAGGTCGCTCCGCGGGTCCTGGGCTGCCTGAGCCGCCTCTCCCCCAGCCAGGCACAGCCTGGCCCTTCCCTCCAGCCCTTCCAGCGCCTGGAGAAGCCCTCAGAGCCTCGTGTTGGTTGTGTGTGCACCTTCAGAGCCCTCCCGGGATGGGAGGGGGGGTGTGGTGGGACCCCTCCCAACCCCCACTGTCCGTCTGTCCCCAGCGTGTCCCATCCAGGGGTCTCTTTGTTTACTGTCCGCTTGTCCACGACGTGAGTGTGCACCGACCCGGTTTTCTAATTTGTTTTTATAATAACTGAGTTCGAGTGGGGTGGTGAAGACTGAATGCCGATTTTTCCCTCTCCTGTTGGCTCGATTTTACTGAAGACCTGTGCTTGAATGAAGAGTGTAGCTTAAAGCCAGGCTCTGGACGGGCTGCATCCGGAAGCGAACGAGCACGGCAGATTGTGCAGGTGTAAAACTGCCATGGGAACAAAGTCCTCCAGACTCTTTGATTATTGCGCAACGTGTGGGGGGCGTTAACAGCTCGGTCGGAGCGTTCTCCTCCCGCGGGAGGAGCCTCCTGCCGCGTTAGGAACCCTCCGAGGTGTAAAGTTCCAGCAGCTGAGGAGCCGCTGTCTGATGGGTTCTCTTTTGTAACTTGGAATCACTGTCAGCGCAGGCGACCCCGCCTGAGACCCTGAGGCTGAGCCCGTGAGGTCGGGGGTGGTTTGGTCAGCCCTCGGTCACGGTACGGCCTGGGAGGAGCAACTGGGGCCTCCCCCTGGGCTGAGGAACGGGCAGGTACCTCCTCCTGGGGTGAGAAATGGGCAGGTACCTCCTCTGAGGTGAGAAATGGGCAGGTACCTCCCCCTGGGGTAAGAAACAAGCAGGTACCTCCTCCTGGGGTAAGAAATGGGCAGGTACCTCCCCCTGGGGTAAGAAATGGGCAGGTACCTCCTCCTGGGGTAAGAAATGGGCAGGTACCTCCCCCTGGGGTGAGAAATGGGCAGGTACCTCCCCCTGGGGTAAGAAATGGGCAGGTACCTCCCTCTGAGGTGAGAAATGGGCAGGTACCTCCCCCTGGGGTGAGAATGAACAGGTACCTCCTCCTGGGGTGAGAAATGGGCAGGTACCTCCCCCCAGGGTTGAGAATGAACAGGTACCTCCTCCTGGGGTGAGAAATGGGCAGGTACCTCCCCCTAGGCTGAGGAGTGAACAGGTACCTCCCCCTGGGGAGAGAATGAACAGGTACCTCCTACTGGGCTGAGGAGTGAATAGGTACCTCCCCTGGGGTGAGGAATGAACAGGTACCTTCCCCTGGGTGACAATGAACAGGTACCTCTCCCTGGGATGAGGAACGGGCAGGTAACTCCCCCTGGGTTAGAGTGAACAGGTACCTCCCCCTGAGGTGAGAATGAACAGGTACCTTCCCCTGGGGTGAGAAGTGAACAGGTACCTCCCCTGAGGGCTGAGAAGGAACAGGTACCTCCCCCTGAGGTGAGAAGTAACAGGTACCTCCCCCTGGGGTGAGAATGAACAGGTACCTCCCCTAGGGCTGAGAAGTGAACAGGTACCTCCTCGTGGGGTGAGGAACAAACAGGTACCTCCCCCCAGGCTGCCACCCATGGTGGGAGGCTCTGGATGCCCGTGGGAGGCTCTGGGTGTCCCTGTGCTGCTCTAGATGTCCATGGGAGGCTCTGGGTGTCCGTGGGAGGCTCTGGATGCCCGTGGGAGGCTCTGGATGTCCCTGTGCTCCCGTGTCTGTCTGTGCGGCTGCGGCGTGGCCGGGAAAGGGGGCGGGGTGGTTGTCAGAGTTTTATTTAATAAAGGAGCTTCCTCCCATCCGTTTTACTGATGTTGTACAGAGAAAAAAAAAAAAAAAAAACAAAACCAACCCTCAGTGGGCAAATGAAGCGGGCTGCACTTGTGAGTTTTTGGCTGTTTGATGCTGTTCAGTGAGATGTAATTACGGAGATAAAAGTTTAAGTCCCGCTCGCACGGGAATTGGACGGGGCCTGAAACTGGGACACATTTCCCTGGGACACGGCTGGATGGCAGGGCTGGGCTGGCAGCACTCACAGAGCGTGGGGGTGGGATGGTTTCCTGCCCAGTTTTGTGTTTGCAGGGCCGGGGAAGGGCTGGGCTGTTCCCTCGGGCTCCCAGCTGAGCTCTGGGCTCCCCAACCCGGCCCCTGCCTCGTCCCGTCCCTTCCCACGGGCATTGCTGGGGACTGGGGGTGCTGGGATTTGTCTGAGCTCAAACTGCAGTGTGTAGGAGAAACATCTCCCTCCCAAACCGGAGCTGCTTCCCCTGCACAGGTTTGTCCCTGGGGAGTCCTGGGGAGTCCTGGCTCTTTGGTGCCTTTAATTGATCGCACCTTGAAACTGAAAAACGTCTCCTTCGGTCAGCGCTGGGGCTGGGCTGGTTGTCCCTGGTGCCACCAGAGCAGGGAGGGAGCAGAGCCCACCTCGGTGCCCCCGTGGTTGGTGCTGCTGAGGAGGGGGGCTCTCCCTGGGCTGGTGGAAGTGCAGTGATTGCTGCTCCTGCACTCTGAGAGGGGAAGGGAAACAGAGAGCAAAGCACTGGGCAGGGTGGGGCGTGAAACAGCCGAGAAACAACCCGTTTATCCATCACTCTGGGTTTAGGTCTGGAGAATAAACGTGTTCCTGGGTGACAGCCCCCGAGGGGGATGTTCCACGGTGGGGGTCACTGCCTGGGCTCTGCCCTCCCCAAGGGATGTGCCCCTGGGGATGGAGGGGACTTTCCTGGCTCCTCAGCTGATCCGTGTTGTCTCTTCTTCCAGGGATAACGTTAGTTCAGGCTGCTCCAAGCCTTGGACACTTCCAGGGATCCAGGGGCAGCCACAGCTTCTCTGCCCAACCTGGGCCAGGGCCTGCCCACCCTCCCAGCCAGGAATCCCTTCCCAATCTCCCATCTCTCCCTGCCCTCTGGCAGTGGGAAGCCATTCCCTGTGTCCTGTCCCCCCATCCCTTGTCCCCAGTCCCTCTCCAGCCCTCCTGGAGCCCCTGGATGGGACTCAGCAGCCTCCTCTTCTCGTGAACATCGGGCAGCCGAGCCAGGGGCTTTGCCAGAGGCTCTGGGAGCACTTTCAGCTCCCTCAGCAGGGCTGGTGTCACCTGCCTGGTGTCACCATCGAGGACCTGCACCAGGGACTCGGAGCTCTTTGGATCAGCTCTAGTGAGGTCCCTGAACTCTTCTCCTCCGAGCCTGCTTGGGATAGACCTGGAAAATCCCCTGGGGAAACAGTGCTTGAGGGAAAACAGCCTTGGCTGCTCCTGCTTTTGCCCCCCTCGGCCTGGCTGTGCTGTGTCAGAGCAGGGCCTGAGGGGACACGGAGGATGCTCCGGGTGGGACAGGGACAGGACAGGAGAGAACGGCCTCCAGCTGTGCCAGGTTGGATATTGGGACAATTCCTTCCTGGAAAGGGCTGTGCAGCCCTGGCACAGCTGCCCAGGGCAGGGGGGGAGTCCCATCCCTGCAGGGATTTAAAATCCCTGTGGATGTGGCACTCGGGGACGGGGCCAGCGGTGGCCAGGGCAGTGCTGGGGGAACAGCTGGGCTGGGTGGACTCTGAGGGTTTTATTCAACCCAAATTATTGCCAGTGCCCGTGGCAGCTCTCTGCTTGTGGGGAAGGTCCCTGTGGGTGTGTAAAGACCCTCTGGCCTACCCAGGTGTGGTCAGACCCGGCTTTGGAGCTCTCTGGGCTCCAGGGGAGCGGCCGGGCTGTCCCTGCCCCACGAGTGGAGGTTCTCAGGAACTCGCTGCTCACCCTCCAAGGGTCAGAGCTGGGGGCTGTGCTTCAGGCTGGAGACTTCCAAATCCACCCCCTCCCTCCCCATGTCCCAGTAGGGACACTGCCCTGCCCCTGTCCCTTGGGGTGTGTCCCTGGCAACCCCCAAATGGCTTCTCCCCCCCGGGTCTGGACTCGGGGGGCTCAGGTACTGCAGTGGGTGTGAACTCCGGTCTGTTCAATGCTATTACTGAAATATTTATTGTGTTCAAAACCAAACAAACACACAAACAAACAAACCTATTAAAGATCAGTAAAGAATAAAATTTTCCATGCCTTTTACTGGTGTTTCTCTTTCCTTCCTGCTGGACGTGGTGAGGATGAAGGTGGAGCAGGGGATGGGCTGGAGGGCAGCAGGCACAGATGGATTCCTACAATGGCAGGGTGGTTTGGGGGGGAGGGACCTTAAAGACCATCTCGTTCCACGGGCAGGGACACCTCCCACCAGCCCAGGTTACTCCAACCTGGCCTTGGACACTACCAGGGATCCAGGGGCAGCCACAGCTTCTCTGTCCAACCTGTGCCAGGGCCTGCCCACCCTCCCAGCCAGCAATTCCTTCCCAATCTCCTATCTGTCCCTGCCCTCTGGCAGTGGGAAGCCATTCCCTGTGTCCTGTCCCTCCATCCCTTGTCCCCAGTCCCTCTCCAGCTCTCCTGGAGCCCCTTCAGGCTCTGGAAGGATCTCTCAGGTCTCTCCAGAGCCTTCCCTTCCCCAGCTCTGCCAGCCTTGGGGCAGAACCCGAGAGCCCAGCACTCCCTCCCTCCCAGGATAAAGCCAAGGTGTATTTAATCCCTTCCTCGTCCCTTCTCAGCCACTCCACGTCTTCCCCTTAAGCGGATTGCTGCGGGAGGTGTAAATGGAATTAAGGGATTGCCGCGGACAACAGGTTTGGGAGCGCACCGGGCCGCCGGCACCGCGCGGGCTGCTCGCACCTTCCCGAGGCTGCTCCCACCTTCCCGAGGCTGCTCCCGGCTTCCAGGGCTGCTCCCTCCTTCCCGAGGCTGTTCCCGCCTTCCCGAGGCTGCTCCCTCCTTCCCGAGGCTGCTCCCACCTTCCCGAGGCTGCTCCCACCTTCCCGGGGCTGCTCCCACCTTCCCGAGGCTGTTCCCTCCTTCCCGAGGCTGCTCCCACCATCCCGACGCTGTTCCCTCCTTCCCGAGGCTGCTCCCTCCTTCCCGAGGCTGTTCCCTCCTTCCCGGGGCTGCTCCCACCTTCCCGAGGCTGCTCCCACCATCCCGGGGCTGCTCCCATCATCCCAAGGCTGCTCCCACATTCCCTTGGCTGCTCCCACCTTCCCGGGCTGCTCCCGCTCTCCTGAGAACTGTTCCCACCATCCCGAGGCTGCTCCCTCCATCCCGAGGATGCTCCTATCTTCCCGAGGCTGCTCCCACCATCCCGAGGATGCTCCCACCATCCCGAGGCTGCTCCCACCTTCCCGAGGATGCTCCCACCATCCCGAGGCTACTCCCACCATCCCGGGGCTGCTCCCACCTTCCTGAGGATGATCCCTCCTTCCCGAGGCTGCTCCCACCTTCCCGAGGCTGCTCCTCCCATCCCAGGCTGTTCCCTCCTTCCCGAGGATGCTCCCACCATCCCGAGGCTGCTCCCACATTCCCTTGGCTGCTCCCGCCTTCCCGGGGCTGCTCCCACCATCCCGGGCTGCTCCCACCATCCCGGGCTACTCCCACCTTCCCGAGGTTACTCCCTCCATCCCGAGGCTGCTCCCTCCTTACCGAGGCTACTCCCACCTTCCCGGGGCTGCTCCCACCTTCCCGAGGCTGCTCCCTCCTTCCCGAGGCTGCTCCCACCTTCCCGAGCCTGCTCCCACCTTCCCTGGCTGCTCCCCCCTCCTCCTTTTGGACCTCGCACGGTCACAAGACAAAAAGTAGGAATTAAATTAGGAAAGAAAATCATCCAGCGAGGACTCGGCCCCCTCTGCCGGGCGACAGGAGGATTTACTGATGCTGTCCAGGACAGCGAATCCCGGGGGCTGCGGGAACAGCGAGGGAATTCCGCCCTGGGAGTCGAGCTTTGGTCGCTCCATCCCCCCATAATATCCAAGCATATCTAAATATCTAAATGTGAAAAACGGAGCCTCGGGATACGTAATCGGTTTTCAAATTGGAATTTATGACGTGGTAAGTGCAAACAGCGTGCTGGGCGAGCAGAACTAACCCTCCTGAACCCGTCCCACCCCAACACAGGGTAAGGGGCTGGTATTTAGTTCAGGCATCTCATACATATTCATTACCATATGCATTTTACATCGCTGTTTCAGGGATTCAACGGACGTTTTCTTTCACAGCTAAAAGTCTAATTTCTTATCTTCATGCTAGGTTGATAAATTCATGCCTTTCCTAACAAAAGGCCCCAGGTAATCTCATTTTATCCATATTTTATGCCTGGGAGAGAAGGGGAGGCCTGGCCCGTTTTATGCCTTTATGGGGGGTGTAATTAAGTTTTATTTATCACCTGGTTTTATTTTCTTCTTGCCTGAGGTTGTGATAACCCATTTGTCCCTCCTGCACGAATCAGAAATTTTGTTTTATTTGTTTGTTTTGTTTATCACACCCTTCTTTCTTGCTAAAAATAGCAAGACCTCAAAGCTGTTCCCCTTCCTTCCCACAGCAATTTCTGCAAGGGAGGGGGTGCCAGAGGATCCCCCAGGCGGGTCAGGACATGGGAAGGTGCAGAGAACCATCTCCCTGGGCTGGACAAGGAGCTGGGAGCTGCTGGAAGCAGCTCCCAGCTCCTTGTCCAGCCCAGGGAGATGTGAGGGAACCAGATGAGGGACCCTGCACTGCCCCATAGCCCAGCCCAGGCTGGAGAACTCCCCCTCTCGCTTCAGCAGCTGCACTGGGACCTTCTCAGCTTCTGGGAATCCCTCTGGGATGAATGAACCTTCTCAGCTTCTGGGATCCCTCTGGGATGAATGAACCTTCTCAGCTTTGGGGATCCCTCTGGGATGAATGAACCTTCTCAGCTTCTGGGATCCCTCTGGGATGAACCTTCTCAGCTTCTGGGGATCCCTCTGGGATGAATGAGCTTTCCCAGCTTCTGGGAATCTCTCTGGGATGAGCCTTCTCAGCTTCTGGGATCCCTCTGGGATGAGCCTTCTCAGCTTCTGGGATCCCTCTGGGATGAATGAACCTTCTCAGCTTCTGGGATCCCTCTGGGATGAATGAACCTTCTCAGCTTCTGGGATCCCTCTGGGATGAATGAACCTTCTCAGCTTCTGGGATCCCTCTGGGATGAGCCTTCTCAGCTTCTGGGGATCCCTCGGGGATGAATGAACCTTCTCAGCTTCTGGGAATCCCTCTGGGATGAACCTTCTCAGCTTTGGGGATCCCTCTGGGATCCCTCTGGGATGAACCTTCTCAGCTTCTGGGATCCCTCTGGGGATGAATGAACCTTCTCAGCTTCTGGGATCCCTCTGGGGATGAATGAACCTTCCCAGCTTCTGGGATCCCTCGGGGATGAACCTTCTCAGCTTCTGGGAATCCCTCTGGGATGAATGAACCTTCTCAGCTTCTGGGAATCCCTCTGGGATGAATGAACCTTCTTAGCTTTGGGGATCCCTCTGGGATGAATCTTCTCAGGTTCCTGTGGGGCCACCCGGATTCTAAACCCCATCTCAGCCCCTCTCCCCTGGCCCAGGCAGTTCCCACCTCCCCTGCAGCGTTCCCATCCCCCCGGAGCAGCGCTGTTCCGATCCTAAACCCCACCCAGACCCTCTCCCCTGGCCCGGGCAGTTCCCACCTCTCCCCTCCCATCCCCAGGGAGCAGCACTGTTGCACACAATTCCATTAAGGAATAAAGAGGAACCCCCCGGGTATCACATCAGTCCCTCCTCTCAGCTGAGCCTCCAGGTCGGGGCTGGGCAGCAGCTGCTGGGTGGAAGAGACTGTTTCTGCCCTAAAAAGGACTCGGGGGTGGATTAGATGACCTTTCAGTCCCTTCCAACCCAAACCAGCGTGTGATTCCACAATCCTGAAGGGCAAACACCTGGTGGGAGTTCACAGCCCCCAGCACCCCCACAAACACCACAGGAACAGGTCCTGTCAGGAACTGTGAGGAGGGAAGGGAAACAGCCATTCTGTATGTTCAGTCCTGATTTATTGCGGTGTTAGATCGGTGACATTCATTGGTCAGGTGCAATCTGCTCGTTCCCACGGCGTTTGGGCACCGTGCAGCAAAACCGCCCCCTCAGAGCCCGGCTCAGCCCCTGGGACCGACCCCGCTGCCCCAAAACAGCTGCTCCTGCCCACAGCACTCACCCCCCCCTCAGCCCACCCACCCCCAGAGCTTCACGTTCTCCTGATCTCCAGACTCAGCTCTCCGCACAGAGCCTTGGAATCGTTTTTTGTTCCCCACGGGGAGAAATCCCGCAGAGTTCCCAGAGGGAGCAGACGGGTTACGAGGAGCCTGCAGGGGCTCAGAGCCACATCCTCTCCTGGAAGCTGAACAGAGCGTGTCCATTAGATACAAATCACTGGCTGAGCAGCTAAAAGGGATTGATAAAGGCCACAGAGGCCCCCTCAGAGAAGGAGGGGGGTGTAGGGTTTGTAAGTGCACTGAGAAGGCGTCGCCGGGCACAGGACGGGCACCGCTCCCGGGGCCGGGGCCCCTTACTGGGGGTAAAGCTCCACGATCATGGCGTGTCCCTGGGAGGGGAGAGAGAGAGGATGTCACAGGAATGACTGACTGTCAGAGGAAATCACTGCAGACCTGGACCAGGGCTCCCAGCACGGCAGCAGGGGTGAGTCACGGCTGGACACGATCCCAGCTGTGCCCAGGGGGGCACGAGGCCAATGGGGCACTGCTGTGTCACAGGGCCAGGGCAGTGCCCTCCCTGTGCTGGCACTGCTGGGGCACCCCCAGTGCTGGGGCAGGGCTGGCCCCTCACACCAGAGACACAGGGAGGGGCTGGAGCGTGGGCAGGGAAGGGAACGGAGCTGGGAAGGGGCTGGAGCAGCAGGAGGGGCTGAGGGAGCTGGGGGGGCTCAGCCTGGAGAAAAGGAGGCTCAGGGGGGACCTTCTGGCTCTGCAATCCCTGACAGGAGGGGGGAGCTGGGGAGGGGGTCGGGCTCTGCTCCCAGGGAACAGGGACACCCCTGAGTGGTGCTGGGGACACCCCTGAGTGGTGCTGGGGACACCCCTGAGTGGTGCTGGGGACACCCCTGAGTGGTGCTGGGGGCAGCCAGACCCCCCAGGGAGTTGTGCCCACCCAGTGCCCACTGCTGGTGTCACCAGAGAGGACTCCCAGTCCCGGCAGGGTCAGCCTTGCACTTCCCACCCCTCTCCTGCAGGACCAGAGCCGGGGCTCAGCACCATTACCTGTCCCCCCGCGGCACAGGCGGCCACCAGGCCGAACTGTCCCCCCTCCTTCTTCAGCCTGTGGGCAGCGGTGATGACCAGGCGGCAGCCGGTGGCCCCAAAGGGGTGTCCCAGCGACAGGGACCCCCCCCAGGTGTTGAACTTGTCCAGGGGAGGGGCCCCGACCTGCGGGGACACGGAGGGACATCGTCACCTGGCTGGGAGGGGACCCCTCCACCTCATCCCAGGGACACTGCTCGTGTTGGGATGGGGTAACCCGGAGCTCCAGGGACGTCACTGCTCCTTGCAGGACAGGGCAGAGCCCGGCTGGGCAGTGCCAGGAGGGATTCCAGACATCCCACAGGGAAACTGAGCTCCACAGGAGGCCCCGGAGCTGCTCCCAGGGCTGGAGCCCCTCTGCTCTGGAGCCAGGCTGGGAGAGCTGGGGGGGCTCACCTGGAGAAGGGAAGGATCCAGGGAGACCTTGGAGCCCCTTCCAGAGCTTGAAGGGGCTCCAGGAGAGCTGGAGAGGGACTGGGGACAAGGAATGGAGGGACAGGACACAGGGAATGGCTTCCCACTGCCAGAGGGCAGGGAGAGATGGGAGGTTGGGAAGGAATTCCCAGCGGGGAGGGTGGGGAGGGGCTGAGCTGGAATTCCCAGGGAAGCTGTGGCTGCCCCTGGATCCCTGGAAGTCTCCAAGGCCAGGCTGGACGGGGCTTGGCCCAAACCACTGTGGGACTGTGAAAATGTCCTGCCTCACCTTGGCCTTCCTGCCCATGTAGTTCTGTGCAAACCAGTCCGAATCCATGGCCTTCAGGTTCGCCAGGATCTGGCCCTGCGAGGAGAGGGGAGGGTGAAGTTAACAAGGACAATGTCAGACTTTTTGGGGGGCCTGCAGCCAGTGACAGCATCTGAGCCCAGCTACAGCCACCAAAACAAGCACAGCCAGCTAAAAATACTTCACAGGATCAGCCCTGTTAATAAACATCATCAGCTCAACGTTCACTGGGAACAGAGCCTGTCCAATTAACAAGCCAATTAACAAATATGGCAACGCACTGCCCAGAGGGGGCCACCACGGTGATCGGGGATGGAGCCCCCTGTGCTGGGAGGAAAGGCTGAGAGAACTGGGACTGTCCAGCCTGGAGAAGAGAAGGCTCTTGGGACGCCTGACTGTGGCCTTCCAGTGCCTGGAGGAGCCCTCAGGGAAGATGAAGAGGGACAAATATATTTACCAGAGCCTGGAGGGACAGAACACAGGGGAATGGCTTCAAACTGACAGAGAGCAGGGAGAGAGGGGAGACTGGGAAGGAATTCCTGGCTGGGAGGGTGGGCAGGCCCTGGCACAGGTTCCGCAGAGAAGCTGTGGCTGCCCCTGGATCCCTGGAAGTGCCCCAGGCCAGGTTGGATGGGGCTTGGAACAACCTGGGCTGGTGGGAGGTGTCCCTGCCCATGGCAGGGGGTGGGAACTGTGTGAGCTTTTTTTTAACCCCCAAAGGTCTTTGGAAAGTAAAATGACTTTTTTTTACGTATTATTTTCGAAGGATCTGCATTCCTTTGGTGACTTCAAGCCACACAAGCCACCCCTAAACACGGATCGTGTCCCTCTAAAGACGTGACAGAGCTAAAACACACACAGCGCTTCTGTGAGACACAAGCGTGGGATCACTCCTGGTGGCAAGGTCTCAGCGAGATCTCTCCCCACCCGAGAGCACAGGAGGGGAGCCCAGGCTCAGAGCACTTACAGCGAAGGCCTCGTGGAACTCGAACACGTCGATGTCGCTGAGGGTGAGCCCGGCCCTCTCCAGCACTTTGGGGGTGGCGTAGGTTGGGCTGGAGGAGAGGAGCACACACACGAGCCTTGCCTGGGTGTTCCCCCCCAGCACTGCCCCCCCTGTCACAGCCACAGTTCCACCCCTTCCCTGCAGGGTTCGTGGCACAGCTCTGCCCATCCCTCTCCCCCAAACAACCACCCCCTGGTCCTGTGCCCCTGCAATCCACGGTGGGTGTTTTTGCTCCCCCTCCAACCCCTCCCACCCAGCAAGGTGTGAGGGCCCAGGGGCTGCAGCACCTGATGGGACACCCCACAGAACACGTGGCATGGCTGTGTGGGAGCACAGGGCTGGGAGGGGGACGGTCCCCACCGCCACCTACCCGAGCAGCAGCTGGTCCTTGGGATCCTGGGACACGTACACGAAGTCCCTGCGCGGGAGGAGCACTCTCAGTGACAGGGGAGGGGAGGGGGAAGCCAGAGCAGGCTGCAAGAGGCCACGTGGAGCAGCCCCTCTTACCTCAGGTAGGCCTTGGGTTTGTATCCCATGGCCAGGGCCTTCTCCTCAGACATGAGCAGGATCGCCGACGCTCCGTCCGTCTGCAGCGGGGCAGGGGAGGCGGCTCAGGGCCCCAGGGAGCAGAAAACCCTGCCCACAGCGGGCCCAGCAGCACACAGGGAACGGCTTCCCACTGCCACAGGGCAGGGAAAGGTGGGACACTGGGAAGGAATCCCTCCCTGGGAGGGTGGGCAGGCCCTGGCACAGGTTGGGCAGAGAAGCTGTGGCTGCCCCTGCATCCCTGGAAGTGTCCCAGGCCAGGTTGGACGGGGCTTGGAGCACCCTGGGCTGGTGGGAGGTGTCCCTGCCCGTGGCAGGGGGTGGGACTGGATGGGCTTTGAGGTCCCTTCCCACCCAAGCCATCCTGGGATCCCATGAAGTCCAGACTAAAGCCACTGACTTCTGGAAGTAGAACGTGGTCAATCCCATCCTGGGATGGAATTCCCACAAGTGCCTGACAAGGATAAACCCTCGAGAGGCAGCTACAGAGAAGCAAAACAGGTGAGAGAACCCAGAGCTTCAGGGGTTTGGTTACTGGGTTTAGAATGAAACAATCCCATCCCCAAGTGAGTCCCAAGTTCTGCCTGGCAGGTCTGGAAGCGGGGACATCACAAAAAGGGGAATGCTGGTTCCCAGACGGGAGGCAGAGGGTCAGGTGGATGGTGTTGCCCTCTGGCTGGGGGGGGAATTACCAGGAAGGAGGAGTTGGCCGCTGTCACAGTCCCATAGGGCTTGACAAAGGCCGGCTTCAGCTTCCCCATCTGCTCCATGGAGGAAGGCCGGATCCCGTTATCCTTGGTGACGGTGTCTTTGCCTGTTTGGGGGACAGAAAGCATTTTAAACCGTCAAAATCTACAATATAAGTGAATTTTCACATCAGGATTCCCAAGGGGAAAAAAAAATCAGAAAATTGTGCTTTTTATGATAAGCGGGAAAAGGGAAAATCCATTTGTGGCTTCAGGATGTTTACCATGGCTAAAAATAGCAGTTTAAAACTGAAAGAACCTCTCTACTTTTTGCTCTAAGAACAGCAAAACCAAAGTGCTGAAATCATTTACTGCAGGGAAGAACTACCACAGGGAAAACCCAGCTGATAAAAGAACTTAAATTTGGGTTAAAAAGCCTGAATGGAGAACTGGGCCTAAATCAGTTCACATTTATGTGCTGAGTTTTGAGGAATTGAGAGCACTGGGAAGAACCAAATATATCCACCTTCATCTCTGCCAGCTGCTAAATAAACCTGTTAACAGAAAGGACCAGTTTTGTAATAAAATACCACGTGGAACTGTGGATCTACATGGAAAATTCCTCCAGGATATTACCTGCCCCAAAGGTGTATTGCACCACAGTGTGTCCACCAGGGCTGGGGATGAGGGAGACACCGGGACAGGCAGGGAAAGGACAGTTTAAATATTCTTTAAATATTCTTTTAAATATTCTCCCCAGCCTGTTTCCCCTCCCAGCAGTGAGTGTGTGGGGTCTGGGGAACTGGAGCCCATCCCATTCCAGCTCTTCCTACCCAGCCCCTGAGTTACCAGCCCAGGATTTTATCAGGCCAGGATTTTATCAGGCCAGGATTTTATCAGGCTTTCTGCCCGTTGTTAACACTCAGAAACGTGAACACCTCAGCACTCTGGGGTGGGTGCACAGGTGGGTTCTCCTGCCTGGCTGGAAGAGCAGGGGGATCCTCAGCCCAACCAATCCGGCCTTCCTTGCTCTGTCACCACGTCAGCACACACGTGGGGAGGGCAGGACAAAAGTCAGGTGTGTAAAAACGTGACAGGGGGTAGGGTCAGGTGGGATATTGGGAAGGAATTCCTCCCTGTGAGGGTGGTGAGGACCAGCTAAGGGCAAACCTGTGCCAGGGCCTCACCGCCCTCCTGCAGCTGTGGCTGCCCCTGCATCCCTGGCAGTGTCCAAGGCCAGGTTGGACGGGGCTTGCAGCAACCTGGGCTGGTGGGAGGCGTCCCTGCCCGTGGCAGGGGGTGGGATGAGATGGGATTTAAGGTCCCTTCCCACCCAAACCAGTCTGGGACTCTGTGCTTACATACCCAGACATGCCGCTCTGCCAGCGGTTTTCCAGGGACAATCAGAGGTACAACCCACAGAGAGCCCCATGAATGATCCCCCCAGCAGCGTGTGACACGAGCAGTGTTACCTGGCACTTTGAAGGGCACCACGTCCAGCAGCAGCCCCTCGTCCTGGGCTTTCTTGGCCAGCGTGTGGGAGCGCAGGGCGTACTCGTCCTGCTCCGCGCGCGACACCCCGAAGGCGGCGGCCAGGCGGTCGGCAGAGTGCCCCATGGTCTCGCTGGTGGAGAACTCTGCCACGGCAGGGAGCTGTGGACAGCAAGGTAAGGTCAGCACAGCTGAATCTCCCCCCTGGGCAGGACCAGAAGCTCAACCCTCGCTCAACTCTTCCCCGTTAACGCAGAGCCGCGCGATCAACGCGCGACGACCGCACCAGAGGTGACCGGGTCGGAGCTGTCAGAGGAAACATCACCCTCCAAGATTTTAGGGGGAAAAAAACAAGGCCCAGCCTGCTGCTCACTGCAGGGGTTGCAGGGCTGTGTAAGCAGCTGAACAAGCAGAGAGTGCAGAGAGCTTAACAGGGAACCTGCGACAAAAGCGGGCCAGACTTCTCAGGCTCAGCTGAAACAACGCACCCTGAGACCTCGAAACTCCTCGTGAGACGCTTCCTCACCCCAAACCAGAGCCAAGAGGTTTTGGTTTTTTCAGTTTTCTATTCTTGCAGCAGCACGCAGGAAATCCCTTACGTGCATTTAAGTGTGTGATCTTCGTATCCTGTGTGGATTTGGGATCTCACATTCATATACTGAGGATATTCCCCTCTGATATTAAGGTGGTTACTTCTACTGTCCAGGAAAATTCTTCTGACCCCAAAATTCTTCTGATGTTTCGGGACCCCTTGAATAAGCTTTATGGGAGAAAACTCCTCTTTCTGTCACTTCAGGACAGTTTGTCCAGGAGTTGCAGAAGGAGAGGGAGCTTTTGCACTAAGCTGGGTTTACTGAAGCTGAACACGTGAGAAGAAAAAGCAGAGCCCCAAATGCTGTGAGATGCACTAATCAACTGTTTTAACCCACAGCAGAGGACAGAGGTTGATGACAGTGAGCTCCAGACACCTCACCCTTCTTAAATCCTCTCCACTGAGGCTAAAAAAATTGCCTGAGCCACCTTCCCCTAAAACAGTTTAGCTAAATACCTAAATGCCTGGAAAAAAAAAAAGAAACACACAAAAAAAAGGAAAAATACCTCGGGAGCAAAGTAGTCAGGGCGAATTTTGGAAATCAGGGAGAGCTTCTGGCCCAAGGTCTTGGCCCTGTTCAGGGTCAGCATCGTCTTCCTCATCTTCCTGCTGTGCCGGATGGGAACGTCCGACATGAGCTCCACCCCTCCGGCCACCACCACGTCGCACTGCCCCGCCGCGATCATCCCCACGCCTGCGGGACGACACGGGCTCCCAGGAGAGCTGCAGGGACTCAGCCTTGGGGCCCTGGGCACCCCTGCACACTCCAGATCCTTCCCCAGCCCCTGGCTCGGGCCAGGCTGTGCTCAGCAGGCGCTTTCTGATCCAGCTCTGCAGCTCGGCCTCCACTGCTCCTTGGCACACCCAGCAGCGGGGGGAGAGCAATTCACGCTGTGCTTTGATGGTTAAAAAGCTTGAACAGAGTCCCAGGATCACTGGGATCACTGGGAGGGTGGAAAAGCCCTCCCAGCCCATGGATCCCCCCCTGTGCCCCATGCCCCACCCTGTGCCCCAGCCCAGAGCACTGAGTGCCACGGCCAGGCCTGCCTGGGACACCTCCAGGGCTGGGCACTCCAAACCTCCCTGGGCAGCCCCTGCCAGTGCCTGACCACCCTTTCCAGGGACAAATTCCTCCTGATGTCCCCCCTGCCCCTCCCCTGGCCCAGCTGGAGGCTGTTCCCTCTCCTCCTGGCCCTGTTCCCTGGGAGCAGAGCCCGACCCCCCCCAGCTCCCCCCTCCTGTCAGGGATTGCAGAGCCAGAAGGTCCCCCCTGAGCCTCCTTTTCTCCAGGCTGAGCAACCCCGTCTTTCCCTCCATTCCAGCAGTTTTTATATTCAAAAGCAGTGCAAGTGAGAGCTTGGGAATTCCTCTACAGCCTCTTTGTCACCCCCACAGCTTGTCCCCCAGCCCAGGTACCTGTGGTCATCGCCTGGTTGGAGGAGATGCAGGCCATGGTGACGGTGTGGGCCGGAGTTTTGTCGGAGAAACCCGCTCCCAGTGCAGCCTGAGACAGCAAGAGAGTGCCTGTTAAACCCACAGCTTCTGCCCCAGAGCTGCCTCCTGCCCTGCAGCACAGCTTGCCAGGGGAGCTGCAGACAACTGCATCGAGTTTTCATTCATTCCTGCTGCAGCTCATCCCCTCCCAGACTGGAAGTGCCAGGGCTCAGCTGCACTGTCAGAACACTCACTGTGCCCCCTACATTTTTTTAATAAAAGGACAAGCTAATCACACACCTCACATTGAAAAAAACACATTGAAAGAACCTCCAACCACTGGGCATCACCTCTGCTTCACCTCCCTGGCAAAGGCCACACGTGAAAGGGCTGGCTGAGGTGCCTCAGCACGAGGAGCCGCGGCTTCAGAGAGAGCACAGAGCTCAGTGCAGAGCAGTGACTCATCTGACCAGCCCACAGCTGCTCCCAGACACCTTCCCTACTTGGGGCACGGCCAACTGGTTGAAAGTTCAGCTAAAATTACCCCGCAGCCCCATCTGACTGGCGGGTGACCAAAGCCAGGGTTTGCGTTCACGAGGCCGGAGCTGCCTCGGTGCCTCCTGAGCCCTTCCAGCCCAGCTCCCACCCTCTGGGCTCCTCCAGAGCAGCAGCAGAGGCTGCAGGGGGTAGCACAGATCCCAGTCCTCTGCCCCAGGAGCCGGGAGGATCAGCTGCTCTGTGGATAATGCGGGAGCTGCGGTTCCTGCCTGCCAGAACAAAGGGCAGCGAAGCCGCTCCACTTCCAACCACCCAGACCCTGTGCCCCACCTGCCAGCTGAAAAAAAATAAACACCACAACAAAGCAAACTCTCACAGCACCCTCTGGTCCTCTGGGGACTTTGGGCAAGGCAGCATTCCAGTCCAGCTGGTGGTTAAGAGCTGAGTTGATCAGCAATTCCTGACAGGAGCTCCCCTTGCTGGGAAGGACTGAGCAGTTTTAATGCTGAACTCACAGCATTAAAATGAACTATGAAAATATGATAAAAACCTACGATAAATGAAAACTGTGGCAGATTTCAAGAGCAGGCAGACTCAGAGAATCACAGAATAAGTTTCCTTGTAGTCCCACTCAGTCATTTAACAGACAATACTGCACTACTTCAGGCTTTAAATCACATTTAAATGAACCACAATACCAGGAATTTAATTTTTAGTAGGTGTTTGTCATCTTCAGATGACAGCTGTAGAATCAGACTCACAGGGAAGCGCTGCACTTAACCCACCTCTCTGGCAACATTACTGGTTTTCACCTCCTGGATAACTGTGCCATAAACAATGTAATCCACAACATCCTTCGGGACGCTGGTCCGGGTCAGCAGGCCCCTGAGGAGAGGATCAAAACACAGGGGATCTGCATCACATCACGAATAATCCTCTCAAACATCCTCCTCCTCCTGCCAGCTTGGCTGGAGAACAAGGCAAGGACAGAGCCCCATCGCCTGCCCCCAGCTCAGAACAAAACCCCTGACGGGGAGTGTAAAAGTGGCTGTGGGCTGCAAACAACCCCAGTGATAATATCACCGAAAAGGTGACATAATGTCATTAAATCAACTGCTTCACAGCCCAAACACCCTCCTCCTTCCCTGAAACAGTTCATGGAATCATCCTATCCCGGACTGGTTTGGGTGGGAAGGGACCTTAAATGAATCCAGTGCCAACCCCTGCCGTGGGCAGGGACACCTCCCACTATCCCAGGTCGCTCCAACCTGGCCTTGGACACTGCCAGGGATCCAGGGGCAGCCACAGCCTCTCTGGGCTTCCCCAAACCTTCTGCCTTTTCCACAGGACTTTGCTCTGACTCTCAACAAAACAAACCCAGTGCTAATGACCCTCAGCTTCAGTCAAATCCCCGCAGAACGAGAGGGACAGGCAGGGTGACAGAACGAGCTCAATGTCCTGGTTGCTACTGAGTTTCCCCTGTGTAGCCCAGATTGTTTAAGCCCAGATTGTTTTTCCCAGCACTTGTAAGCATGCCCCAAGAGCAGCTCTGACCTCTGTGTTTGGAAAACTGCAGTTGGGAACCAAATCCACCAAACTTTGTCAGCACCCCCACCTCTTTGCACCGACACACACCCACTGCAAACCCCATCTGCCACTGTGGAGGTGGCACAGGGAAGATGAAGTCATTCAGAGGCAAGACCAGGGCCTTGGCTTTCCAGCACTGGCAATCCCAGTGGCTGAACAAGTTTTCTGAGCCCTCCTGGTGTTCCATGTACTTACTGCAGAGCTGCCCTGGCCAAGTCGTGTGGCATCAGATCCGCGTACCTGGGAGGGGAAGGAGAGGCAGAAACTTAAAAGAGGTGTCAGAGACCAACACAGAGCTGTGCTGGGAGCCCAGAGCAGCAGCAGAGAGCTGGGGAGGCACCAGAGATGCTCCACTGCCTCCCCTGATCTAACATTTCACACACTGATTTAGGCTGGAAGGGACCTTCAAGGTGATCTCATTCCACCCCCTGCCATGGGCAGGACACCTCCCACTGGCCCAGGTTGCTCCAACCTGGCCTTGGACACTCCCAGGGATCCAGGGGCAGCCACAGCTGCTCTGCCCAGCCTGTGCCAGGGCCTGCCCACCCTCACAGCAATCCCTTCCCAGTGTCCCATCTGTCCCAGCCCCTGGCAGTGGGAAGCCATTCCCTGTGTCCTGTCCCTCCAGCCCTTGTCCCCAGTCCCTCTCCAGCTCTCCTGGAGCCCCCTCAGGCTCTGCAAGGGGCTCTGAGCTCTCCTTGGATCCTTCCCTTCTCCAGGTGAGCCCCCAGCTCTCCCAGCCTGGCTCCAGAGCAGAGGGGCTCCAGCCCTGGCAGCATCTCCGTGGCCTCCTCTGGGCTGTCTCCAGCAGCTCCACGTCCTTGTGCTGCTGTTCCCCAGGGCTGGGGCAGCTCTGCAGGGGGGTCTCAGCTGAGGGGGCAGAGGGGCAGGATCCCCCCAGCCCTGCTGCCCACGATCCCTGTGGGATCAGCCCAGGGCACGGGGGGTTCTGGGGGCCAGAGCAGAGTCCAGTAAGAAGAGTCTACAGCAGATTCCTGGCACCTGCCCTGCTAGTTTTGTAAAACTTGCTGTTTTATCTGCTATAGATCCACCAACAGGTTCCTGTAGACACAGCTCATGAATCCTCATTCTTCCCAGAATTCATACACAAGGACAACCTGCTTCAAACCCCCTTTCTGCTTTAGATAAGGTGCAATGACTGCAGCAGCCACTGTCACTTCAGAGCCTCCAAGCATAACTACACCAAAAAGAACAGGCAAGCCCATTTCTCACAGAAAGGGGGTGTTTTGTGCCCTCTCTTCTCGTTTGGTACTCACGAGGTGCCCGACTGCAGGAACGGGATGCGGACGCCCTCCACCACCACCACATTCTTCACCCCACTTTTGCCCAGGGTCTTCTTGGTCTTGGGCTGGGCTGCAAGGAGAGGAGAGATGCTGACAAGAATGTCAGCAAGTCTAACGTAGACCCTGCAAAAACTACTAAAAAATTTGGGAACTTGTCCGCTTCTGGTGAGTAAGTGAAAGGCAGGGAAGGAAGGACCCCTGAGCTGGGATCTTAAAATCATGGAAATGGTTTGGGTGGGAAGGGACCTTAAACCCCATCCAGTTCCACCCCCTGCCATGGGCAGGGACACCTCCCACCAGCCCAGGTTGCTCCAAGCCCCGTCCAACCTGGCCTGGGACACTTCCAGGGATCCAGGGGCAGCCCCAGCTTCTCTGGGCACCCTGTGCCAGGGCCTCCCCAAGGGAGGAATTTCTTCCCAATGGGAAGAAGATCTCTCCCTAAAGGGAGAGGTTCAAGACAGAGGCAGGCCAGGAAAGGCTGCTGTGAGCAAGGAGCAGTCAGAGGACGAGAGGACTGTAAGCAGTGATGTGCCTCAAGTTTTCCTCATTTGCAGCTTTTCAGGAGCAGCTGTACCAAGGCACTCTGCACCATTTCCAAGGCTTAAAAGTGAAACAAGACTCTGGAAAAGGGAGGCAGCTTCCAAAAAACCCTGTCTAGCACAGACCCACTGAGATTCCGGGTGTTTTCCCTTTACCTGTGGCTTGGAGCTGTGAGGAGCAGCTGAACGACCGAGCAACTGGAAAACAACGAGAAAACGGCAAAAAAAAAAGTGTCAGGAACGTTTCTGGTTTCCACAGGAAGGGACAAACACAGCAACAGTGCAATCAGGTGTTTAGAAAATAAAACACTGTCAGCTTTTCTAAGGGGAGATCAGAGCAGAGGTTCAGGTCCATCCCAAAGCCAACACCACAGCTGGAAGTTTGGGACCCTCCCGAGCTGGAGCCCTCAGAGAAGCCCAGGATACTCACAGGCCCCGGCAGCCCAGGCTGAGGACACGGGGAGGGTCCGGAGGGCCGAGCTCAGCATGGAACTCATCCTGGGGGAGTCTGCAGAAGGGCTGCTCTCAGTCCAACCTGGCCCAACCTGGAGCAATTCCGAGGGAGGAGACCTGCCTGCCTCACACAGAGCCAAAACCTGGGGAGAAGACACTCCAAGGGCAGCAGTAGCAGCAGCAGGGAATCACTTCCTATCCCGCTCCCTGAGTGGAATCCGAGCAGGAGGAGCCTGGCTTGTGACTGGGGCTGCAAATGTGCCTGTGGATTAAATACTGCCCAGTGAGCTCCTCGGCTCCCCTCCCAGCCACTGCTCCTCTGGAAAATTGTGGTGGTGCCTGGCCAGCCCTGCTGCCAGCACGGCCCTCCTGACACCACGTCACACCCCTGCCCCCGTCCTTGGCACCACGTCACAGCCCTGGATGCCACCCCAGGGTATCTGCTGCGTGTCCCCTCGGAGGACAGAACAAGCCAATACCCTCCACCCCCAGAATTCCTCCTCAGCCTTCCCAAAGATCACTCCACAATCAGGTTTCCCTGTAAACAAATCCTCCTCTGTGCATTTGGTCCTCACAGCTCCAGTTCTTTGGCTCCTTCATGGCCACGTTCACCTCCCTCAGTCCCATTTTTGGGGTTCAAATCCCAGCACCCCACTCCCACAGACACACAGGTTTTCCAGGGAGGGCCACAGGAACACCTGTATTCCCAAACTCAGCCCGCTGCAGGTCTCCACAGCTCCTTGAAAGCTGCCAGTCACCCCCTTTTACAGCTCCACACCCGGAATGGGTCACACAGCATTCCTCACTTCCCAGCCCACAAACCAAACCCAGGCTCCTCCTGTCACTATTAAGGTCCTGGAAATGGATCTTTCCGTGGCATCCTGCTCTTCCTCCATCTGTGCAGAGCTCCCTCCCCACACCCCATTGAGGCTTTCCCCTCAGTCTGCCCTGCCCAGCTGACAGAAGTTCCTCCCCAGTATCCAAACCTGCCCACTCTGCACAGCCGCCTCTTCCCAGTGTAGGCACTGCCCCTGCCCCCCAAAACGTGCCCACCCTCCCATTTTTGGCAGCCAGTGCTCCCCTGGCACCCCTGGCCCAGCCCTGCACACAAATCCCTCCAGGCAAAGCTCCTTCCAGAGCCTGCAGCCCACAGCGGGAGCTGGGCTCCATGATCCTGGGGATCCCTTCCAGCTCAGGATATTCCACAAGTCTGTGAACAGCCCGTCCTCCTTCCCTCTCATCACCTTCACACCCCACCGTCACACCCCCATCACCCTGGGACTCCATCACATCCCCTCACTGCTGGGACTCACAGCACAGCCCTGGTACAGCCCCCCAAACACACCCCTGGAACAGCTCCCCAAAATACACCCCTGCTACAACCCCCCCCAAACACACCCCTGGAACAGCCCCCCAAAATACACCCCTGCTACAGCCCCCCCCAAAATACACCCCTGCTACAGCCCCCCCCAAAATACACCCCTGCTACAGTCCCCCAAAATACACCCCTGCTACAGCCCCCCAAAATACACCTCTGCTACAGCCCCCTCCAAAATACACCCCTGCTACAGCCCCCAAACACACCCCTGCTACAGCCCTCCAAAATACACCCTGCTACAGCCCCCCAAACACACCCCTGCTACAGCCCCCTCCAAAATACACCCTGCTACAGCCCCCAAAATACACCCTGCTACAGCCCCCCAAAATATACCTCTGCACAGCCCCCAAAACACACCCCTCAAAACACACCCCCAAACATACCCCTGCTACAGCCCCCCAAACACACCCTGCTACAGCCCCCAAAATACACCCGTACTAGAGCCCCCAAAATACACCCCTGCTACAGCCCCCAAACACACCTCTGCTACAGCCCCCCAAAATATACCCCTGCTACAGCCCCCCAAACACACCCCTGCTACAGCCCCCCAAAACACACCCCTGCTACAGCCCCCCAAAATACACCCCTGCTACAGCCCTCCCAAACACACCCCTGCTACAGCCCTCCCAAAATATACCCCTACCAGCCCCCTAAAATATACCCCTGCTACAGCCCCCCAAAACACACCCCTGCTACAGCCCCACCAAAATACACCCCTGCTGCAGCCCCCCCCAAAATATACCCCAGCTACAGCCCCCAAATACACCTCTGGTACAGCCCCCCAAAATACACCCCCTGCTACAGCCCCCAAAATACACCCTGCTACAGCCCCCCAAACACACCCCTGCTACAGCTCTCCCTAAAATACACCCCTGCTACAGCTCCCCAAACACACCCCTGCTACAGCCCCCAAAATACACTCCTGATACAGCCTCCCAAACACACCCTGAACAGCCCCCAAACACACCTCCTGAACAGCCCCCAAACACACCTCTGATATAGTCCCCAAAACACACCCCTAATACAGCCCCCCAAAATACACACCTGTTTCTCTCACCCCCCGGCCTATCCGGGACCGACCTCCCCGACTCCTCTCACCCTTCCTCTGCCCATTCGACCCCTCGATCCCTTCGTCCACCCGGGACCGACTCCCAACCCCCTGTCCATCCACGACCGACTGACCCCTCGACTCCCCCATCCCTCCGATACGGATCCCCCAACTCCCCTTCGCCCTTCCCCGGCCACCTGGGACCGACCACCTGATGGCCTCATCTATGCAGGACCGATCCCCCGACCCTCCTCATCCTTCCCCCGACCCGCCCCCCGGTCCGTGCGGGACCGATCTCCTTCAACCCTTCCCCGAACCCCCTCGGTCCGTGCGGGACCGATCTCCTTCACCCCTTCCTCGGATCCCCGGTCCGTGCGTGACGGAGCCCCGTCCATGCGGGACGGAGCCCCCGCCCGGCCGGGACCACTTCCCCACCTCCTCGGCTCTCCTGCACCCTTCCCTGATCCCCTCACCCTCCCCACCCTTCCCCGACCCCCTGCTCCTAGTGCGGGACCGACCTCCTTCACCTCCTTCCCCGACCCCCCGACCCCCATCCATGCGGGACCGACCCCGCCCCCTGACTCTCCCCACCCTTCCCGCGACCCCCTAACCCATCCCAGGGCCTTTCCCCACTCCCGCAGGACCGACCCCGCGCTCACCTCCGCACCACCGCTCCTCCTGCGGGGCCGCAGGGCGTGGATGCCCCGCCCCGCGGGGCTCCCGGGTGGCGCGCCTGCGCCCTTCGCCTCACGCCCTTCTCCCGCGCCATCCCCTGGTGCCAGCGCTCGCGGGATGGCGCGAGAGGGGCGGGGGGGCGAAGGGCGGGCGCGCCCGGGGCGCGGGGCGCGCTCAGGCATCGCGGAGGGCGCGCTCGGGCGGGGCGCGGGGGCGGAGCGGGAGCGCGCAAGGCCCCCATCCCGGCGGCGGCCGCCCCTCATTCGACCTCGACGGGAAGATGGCGGCGGCGGCGCTGAGGGCCGTGGGCAGCTTCGGCCGCCTCCCCGCACACGCCAGGGCGGCCGGGCCGGCCTGCCGGACGCCGCCCCGCGGTGAGCGGAGGGGGCCTGGGGTGTCGATGCGGGAGGAGGGAGCGAGGCGAGTGAGGGGCAGGGGGGCGCTGAGGGGAGAGGACGGGGAGGGAGGGAGGGATGGGGGTACTGTGGGTGTTGGCAAGCGGGGCACTGAGGAGTGGAGGGCACTGAGCGGCGGGGCCTGGGGACAGGGAGGGGCGAGGGACAGTGAGGAGAGGGACAGTGAGGTGAGGGACAGTAAGAGGAGAGGGACAGAGGTGGGACAGTGAGGCGAGGGACAGGGTAGGGGACAGAGAGGTGAGGGGACAGTGAGAGGTGAGGGGACAGTGAGAGGAGGGGGGACAGTGAGAGGAGAGGGAACACTGAGAGGTGTGGGGGCAGTGAGGGACGAGGGGACAGTGAGGGGGCGAGGGGACAGTGAGGGGTGAGGGGACAGTGACGGATGAGGGGACAGTGAGAGGAGAGGGGACAGTGAGGGGACAGTGAGGGGCGAGGGGACAGTGACGGATGAGGGGACAGTGAGAGGTTAGGGGACAAGAGGTGAGGGGACAGTGAGGGACGAGGGGACAGGGGCAGGGGGACAGTGAGAGGTGAGGGGACAGTGAGGGACGAGGAGACAGATGAGGGGACAGTGAGAGGAGAGGGGACAGTGAGAGGTGTGGGGGCAGTGAGGGGCGAGGGGACTGAGGGGACGAGGACAGTGAGAGGAAAGGGGAGAGTGAGAGGACAGTGAGGGGGCGAGGGGATGGTGAGGGGACAGTGAGAGAACGAGAGGACAGTGAGAGGAGAGGGGACAGTGAGAAATGAGGGGACAGTGAGAAATGAGGGGACAGATGAGGGGACAGTGAGAGGAGAGGGACAGGAGAGAGAGGGGACAGTGGGGGAGGGGACAGGGGCGAGGGACAGGGCAGGAGGGAACAGTGAGAAATGAGGGGACAGTGAGAAATGAGGGGAAAGTGAGAAATGAGGGGACAGTGAGGAACGAGGGGACAGTGAGAGGAGAGGGAGCAGTGAGAGGTGTGGGGCAGTGAGGGACGAGGGACTGAGGACGAGGGGACTGAGAGGAAGGGGACAGTGAGAGATGAGAGGACAGTGAGAGGAGAGGGGACAGTGAGAGGTTAGGGGACAGAGGTGAGGGGACAGTGAGGGGCGAGGGAACAGGGTAGGGGACAGTGAGAGGTGAGGACAGTGAGGGGCGAGGGATAGTGAGAGGTGAGGGGACAGTGAGAGATGAGGGGACAGTGAGGAACGAGGGGACAGTGAGAGGAGAGGACAGTGAGAGATGAGGGGACAGTGAGGAGCAGGACGGCAGGTGAGGAGTGAGGGGGGCAGGGGGACACAGAGGGGACGAGGACAGGGGGACACAGAGGGGCAAGGAGGGCACTGAGAGGCAGGGGGAGCACTGAGGGGCGAGGGATGGGAGGACACTGAGGGAGCGAGAGGGGGCATGGTTTGGGGCAGTGAAGGGGGAGCACTGAGGGTGAGGGGCAGGGGGCACTGAGGTGTCAGGGATGTGGAGGGGTCTCAGAGTGTCAGGAGGGGATGTCGTGGAGGGGGTTTCTGGGCACTGTGGCCGGGGGGGGGCAGGGGACTGTCGGGGTGTCACCAGGGGGGTCTGCAGGCGGTGTGACCACAGGGGCTGCGAGGAACGGGGTGTCCTGGGGGAGCTCTGGGGTGGGATGGGCCCCCATGGGGGTGTCCCCACATGTGTCTGTGCTCTGTGCGAGGGGTTTGTCCCCACACCCTGCGAGTCACACGGGGGATCCCTGGCATGTCCCCAACAGCCCCCACAAGGTTTTCCTGGGGCAGGTCTGTCCCTCTGGGTGCTGGGGTCTCCGAGGGGGGGCTGTGGCCCCATGAGGGACATGCTGCTGTGCCAGTCCCCAAAGCAGGCTGGCCCTGGTGTGCCCAGCCACCTTCCCTGTGTCCTGGCACATGGGCACAGTTTGGGGACCCGTGTGCAGCTCGGGGCAGTCCCCGTGGCCCTGCATTGAGGGAGGACAGACCCTGCAGGCAGGATCGCCCTTGCACATGAGCTGATCTACAGGGATAGTGTCCCTGTGCCCTCCCACGTGTGCCTGTCCCCAGTGCCCCCTGTGCCTGCTTGGAAGGGAGAGAGTGTCCCCATGTCCTTGGGTGTCGGGATCCTGTGACTGTCCTCCAGGCACACAGGGGTATCCCTGGGAAGGGGGTATCCCTGTGTCCCTGCAGGATGGAGAGGGTGTGCCCAGGCCTGGGTGCTCCACAGTCTCTCGGCTGAGAAAACTGGGATCGTTCAGCCTGGAGAAGAGAAGGCTCTTGGGACACCTAACTGTGGCCTTCCAGTGCCTGAAGGGAGCTGGCAACAAGGCTGGAGAGGGACTATTTACAAGGGCCCTGGAGTGACAGGACACAGGGAATGGCTTCCCACTGCCAGAGGGCAGCGTTAGATGGGACATTGGGAAGGGATTCCTGGCTAGGAGGGTGGGCAGGCCCTGGCACAGGTTGGGCAGAGAAGCTGTGGCTGCCCCTGGATCCCTGGAAGTGTCCAAGGCCAGGCTGGATGGGGCTTGGAGCAACCTGGGCTGGTGGGAGGTGTCCCTGCCCATGGCAGGGGTGGGGCTGGATGGGCTTTAAAGTTCCTCCCACCCAAACCAGTCTGGCATTCCATGATTTTGCTATCAGGCACCTCCCTTGTGATCTGCCAGCCTGGGCAGGGCTTTGGGACCCTCCTGCCTGTGCACAGGGCTGGGTTGGTGCCTCCTGGCAGAGCCACCAAGGCAGGGAGTCCCCAGGAGCGCTGGCAAAGCTGCAGGACCTGCCTGGGGGGCACTGGAAACCCGAAATCCAGCAGCTTTTCATTTAAACCCAGGCCTGGACTCAGCAGTGCTGGGTTAAGGGCTGGGCTCAGTGGTCTGAAAGGTCTTTTCCAATCTCTAAAATCCTGGGATTCTGTGACCATCCCTGTGTTACGTGCAGGGCAGGAGCGAGTTGTACGTGACAGGGCACTGCAGTCACTAATGAGACCTGTGGCAACTCCAGGGAGTTCCCAGGCTCTTGGTGGTTGGAATTCTTGTTCTTGGTGAAACTCCTCATCACAAACAGCCCTGGGGCTGCTCTGAGCCCTGGTTCTGCCTAACAAAGTGTTCGGGGAGGGCTGCAAACCAGGCAGGGAGCAGGGGGAGCCGGGGGAGCTCCAGGGCTGGCTGTTCCTGCTGAGCCACATCCCTGTGCCAGGGGCTCCCGGAGCAGAGGGAAGCTCAGTCTGTCACGAGCTCCCCACCTGACGGGTCTCAGCTCCGTGCTCAGCTCCCAGGGACAGCCTGGCCAAGTGTCCTGAGCTTCATCCCGCTCCTCCTGCTGGGCCAGGGGTGCTCCAGGGCTGGAAAAAGGCCTTTTCCATGGACACTGCTCCCAGTTCAAGTGGTGTGCCACGGCCGGGTGAGTGGAAGGGCGGGAAGGGGAAGTGCTGGGCAGGGAGGTGGTTGAGGAAATAACAGGGAAAAGGGAAAGTGGGAGGGAGCAGGTCCTGGCTGGACCATGGAACGTGGTGCTGGGTGTTCTCTGCTGCATCCAAACCCTTGGCAAAGTCCCGAGGGGAATGGAAGTGTTGATGAGCAGTGAGTGGGACCAAGAGCTGCTTTAGTTACAGAGGGGAAGGGCTCTAAAATGAACCTCTGTCAGGCTAAAGAAACCTCACTCAAATTCAGGAGCTGTTCCTCTGCTGACAGACCATTTCCAAAAAGAGTTTAGATTCAAGTGGAGTGAGACTTGTCCAGTTGTTCCCTTGATTTATTTTTTTTTCCCTGCTTCGTATGTTCTGTTTTGCTGGAATTGAAAGGCAGACGGGAATTCAAGGTTGAAGGGTTTTGTGGATGGAGTCTGTTTGGAAACTGATATGAAAAAAAGAAAGCCACAGAAAGAGAAAAAACCCTAGAGAATCCCAGCCTGGTTTGGGTTGGGAGGGACCATAAAGCTGATCCAGTGGGCAGGGACAGGTTCCACTAGCCCAGGTTGCTCCAGGGATTGAGTGAATGGCTTCAGGGAGGGAGTTCAGCCCTTGCTTTCTTTTTAAAGAGGCTGCTACTGGGTTAAAACAGTGCTGTTAGAAGTGCATCACGTCCTGCTGAGCAGCATCTCTCAGCTGAGAAACTGTCGTGTCAGGCCACGCTTGGTTTTTGTGGGAATTAAATGTTGGTGCTCGTTTCCAGGAGTGCCTGACTCCAGCCTGCAAAGGCGCAGGGAAATTAATGTGGGGTGCAGCAGTGGCAGGGTGGGTATTAAACACTCCCCAGTGGCTTTGGAGTGGAAATCAGCTCACTCTTTGTTTATAAAATGCTCTGTGGGCACATGAGACACACACACACACACACGCCCCCAGACCTGCTTGGCGGGACAGCCTGACGCTGAATTCCCATCCCCACGGCATCGCTCCGTGTCTCCCGGGCTCTGGAATGAGAGCAAAGGTCAGGGCCTGCTGCCAGCACCCCGCACCAGGTGGAAAGGAGGCCAAAGTGCAGCCCTGAGCCCGTGTCACGGGGCTGTGGAGGGGGCAGCACCTGTTGGGGCGAGCTTTGCAGTTGATTCTCCCTGCGCCGGATTGTTCCCCCTTCTTGCTGCCGGGAATGGGAATGGGAATGTTCCATCCCGAGGGGTTTTACCAGCGTTGAGCAGATCCCTGGCTGTCTGCTGGAGGTGGTGTGGGGCTTTGGAAGGAACCCTTTTCCTGGGCTGCAGGCTGAAAGCAGCTTTGGCAGGGGCTCAGCCCGGACCTGCGCTCAGGGATCCTCAGGGTGAAGTGCAGGGTCGCTGGAGTGGGACTGGGGTTCATTCACGTGCTGAGGGACCGTCAGGCCCAACACGATTTCTGAGCAGAGAAAAGAGATTTATGAGCCAGCAACCTGTGGGCAGAACTTGCTCATCCCGTGCTCCCGGTGTTCCAAGGGCTCTGGAACAGGACACGTTCGGGTGCCTCGGGGTGTGGATCAGCTACAGGCCCTGTCAGTCTCACACCACTGCCTGACAGGTTTATGGAGCAGATCCTCCTGGAAACTATGCTGAGGCACGTGGGAATAAGGAGGTGGTTGGTGACAGCCAGTGGGACTTCACTAAGGGCAAACCACGCCTGACAAATTTAGTGTTGGTGGATGAGGGAGGAGGGACCGAGCCAGGCACCGGGGCTTGGGCAAAGCATTCCCGCTGTCCCTCACAACGTCCTCGTCTCCAAACTGAGGAGACAGGGGTTCAAAGGGATGACTCCATGGGTAAGGAACAGACTGGGTGGTCACAGTCAGAGCTGTGGTGAACAGCTTGGTGTCCAAGTGGACATCAGTGACAAGGAGCATTCCCTCAGGGGTTGGGATCGGGACCAGTCAGGGACGTGGGATCCAGTGCCCCCTCAGGGAGTTTGCCGGTGACACCGAGCTGTGTGGGGTGGTCACTTGCTGCAGGGAAGGGGTGGCATCCAGAGGGGGCTGGAGAGCTGGGACAGTGCCAGCCCCATGGAGGTCAACGAGGCCAAGTGCAGACGCTGCCCCTGGGTCAGGGCAGTCCCAGGCACAGAGACAGGCTGGGCAGAGAGTGGATGGAGAGCAGCCCTGGGGAGAAGGACTTGGGGATGCTGGTGGGTGAGAGGCTGGGGAAGCAATTCCTGGCTGGGAGGGTGGGCAGGCCCTGGCACAGGTTGCCCAGAGAAGCTGTGGCTGCCCCTGGATCCCTGGAAGTGTCCCAGGCCAGGCTGGATGGGGCTTGGAGCAACCTGGGCTGGTGGAAAGTGTCCCTGCCCATGGCAGGGGGTGGGACTGGATGATCTCTGAGGTCTCTTCCCACCCAACCCAACCTGGGATTCTGATTATTTTGGTGACAGGTGGAGGAATAAATACATTGTTGGCTTTTTGTGACCTGCCAGTTGTACCCCCTGAGGTGTGTGAGGTGATTCTTGGCCTGGCACCACGTACTGGCACCAGAGTGTGTTTTTACAGAGGTACCCCGGGGACAGTTGTGTTTGCTCTGCAGGGAATTTAACGTGCTTGAAACTCCCCAAAATGCGGGAAGAAGTCCTGGAATGAGCATCCTAAAGGCAAAACTCCCCTGTGCCACCTGCTCCTTCTCTTGACCATTCTTCGGGCAGACGCCTTTGGTTTTTCCCTGCTCTTGTTCTGGCATTGCTGGAGTTGTTCTGGAGGCTTCAGTGTGGGATCTGTGCTGGGAAGGTCACTGCAGTGTGGTGGGATCTGTGCTGGGAAGGTCACTGCAGTGTGGTGGGATCTGTGCTGGGAAGGTCACTGCAGTGTGGTGGGATCTGTGCTGGGGAGGTCACTGCAGTGTGGTGGGATCTGTGCTGGGAAGGTCACTGCAGTATCCTGGGATCTACTGGGCTGGCTCTGGCACAGGTCAGGCCGAAGGGAAGGGCCTGGCCCACGCTCAGGGTTTTCCAGATGCCTCCCTTGGCAGGCAAGGGTAGCTGGGGGAGAGCTGAGCTCTGACTGCTGAGGATTCCTTTAACACCTGCAATTCCTCTTCCGTAGGTTATGCCTGCCGGAACGTCTCCACCTCCGCTGCCCTGCAGGGTGAGTGAGCAGCCTTTCTGTGCACTCATTTCACTCCTAAAATCCCCTGAGCCCGAGCTGATAGCACCTCTGTGTCTGTCTCCAGCCAGGACCCACGTGAGCTGCGACATCAAGGGGGACGTTGCTGTCGTGCGTTTCAACACACCAAATTCCAAGGTATCCCAAGTGCCCACTTCAGACTGAGAACTTCCCTGAGCTGCAGCCTTACAAAGCTGGGAGCAAAGGAGATTTGGGGTGTTTAGTGAGACATCTGGAGATGCCTCATGGAATTCTCTCTGTGTGTGCTAAACTGACTTGTCTCTGTCCTAGGCACAAGGTCTTATGAAGTTCTAAATCTTAAAGAAATCTTAAAAAAAAATCCTAAATCTTATTAAGCTCTAGGATCCAAGACAGTTGAAAAGTGTGTCCATACTTCAGCAATTGGGAATCCACAAAGGCTTTTGGTTCCCTTATCCTGAACACGATATAAATAGAACTAATTTTCTTTTTTTTAGGTCAGTACAGCTGCAGTTGCTTTCAGGTGTTGGAGGGCAGGAACCTCTGTAAATGACATTTAAGGAGTCCATCTAAAAATGCGTGCTGGAGTCCTGTAAGACAGTGGTGAATTTCAGATGTCATCTCACAGATGGAAATGCTCTGTTATGAAGCAACTGCGGGGCTTTTGATAAGAAAGTGTTTTTTAAAGCTGAACAGCTGAGCTGCTCTGATATTGCACAAGATATAGAGATACAAGATACAACTACTCCTGCTATGAAAGATCTTGTATTAATTGTAGCAGACCTGAACTTTATTTTAATATACACCTTCCTTCTGAGGAGCAGCAACAATCCCAGCTTTGGAACATCCTGTTTTATGAGAGGATTTTGGGTGGTGTCTGAAGAACCCAGGCTGGGTTGGTTCTGCTGGTTGAGGCCTTTCAGAGAGGCTGGGGAGGTGCTCAGCCTGGGCTGCTGGAAGGTGTCTCTGCTCACTTGCAGGGGGTTTGGATGAGATGACCCTTAGAGGTCCCACCCAACCCGACCTTTTCTGTGATTCTATGATTATATAGAAAAAAAACAAAACAAAAAAACGCTTTATGAGCTCATAAAATCAGTGTTTGAGGTCACCACCCCGCTGCTGGGGAGGTTAAGAGGGAGCTTCCTAATGGAAGATGAGCTGCTGCAGGGCTGTGTGTTGGAGTGGTTTTACCCTGCTGTGTTCCAGCCCAGGCTGGACTGGCCAGCAGCAAACCCAGCCTGTGTGTGAGCTCCTGTGGGCGTGATTTGCTCCCTGCAGGTGAACACCCTGTCGCAGCAGCTGAGCGCCGAGTTCACCGAGGTCATGAACGAGATCTGGGCCAACGAGGCCGTCAGGAGCGCCGTCCTCATCTCCTCCAAGCCCGGCTGCTTCATCGCCGGCGCCGACCTCAAGTGAGCACCGGGGCTGTGGGGAGCCCTCCCTGAACCCCAACATCCCTGCCTGGAGGGCAGTGAAGTCCAGCAGCCTGGCCCTGCCATCCCTCCCTGAACCCCAGCATCCCTGCCTGGGGAGCAGTGAAGTCCAGCAGCCTGTCCCTGCCATCCCTCCCTGAACCCCAGCATCCCTGCCTGGAGGGCAGTGAAGTCCAGCAGCCTGACCCTGACATCCCCTGGGGTGGGGAGGGAAATCCACGTGCACAGGATGCCAGAGTTGCTCACATGGAGTGAAACCTGGACAGAGAGGGACGTGGAGAGTCGTTCATTCATCCCCCTCAGGCTGTGACACTTGGTCACTCCCCCACTTTGTGCTGGGGTGCAGCCAAGGAACCCCATCCTGGCTCCAGGGCTGGGCATTGTCCTTCCCTCTGGGACACAAAGTGGATCATTTACATGCAGCGCTCGTTCTCGCTGGGTTGGAGTGCCTGGCAGCCCTCCAGCCTGGCCCCTCCGTTGGGCAGGGTTTGGAGCTCTGCCCCGTGCTCAGCAGCCTCCCAGGCTCCCTGGGCAGCTTTTCCAGGGTGTGGGGTCACCCTGTGGGTGCCCACTGGGACCTGGAATGCTGGTGGCTCCTGGCACTGACACTGGACGGGGCAGAGCAGTTGCTCAAAGGCATGAAAAGCCAGAAAGCTCCGAGGAAAGAAGGTGAATTACCAATAGACCCCCCAAAACCTCATTCCCTTTTCGGCTGCCCTTGTCCAGGGGCAGAGACCCGGTCCCTGTGCAGGTGGGAAGGAGGGGGTAGGTAGAGCTGATGAGCAGAGCAGAGGCCAGGCTGTGGTTAAGAGGGGCCTGCTGGCCCCAGCACCTCCAGCCTTCCCAAACTGCTCCTGCCTGGCAAACACTGCTGGTCTCCAGGAGGATAATTGGCACGGGGAGTCTCTAATTGATGGAGTGTGGCATCAGAGCGCTGGCCATCTGCTCCTCTAAAAAGTGATCCTGGGCTCTGCCCTTCCTGGCAAGCGTTTGGAGGCTTCCTCTGACCCTTCCTGCCCTCCCAGAGGCTTTGAGAGCCCTGGCAAAGGGATCCCATTCATTGCCACAGGCACAGCCCCTGTCAGTAGGCAGAGCCTTACCCTGCTGGGCTTGGCCTCCCCGTGTTGTCTGATCCAAAACTGGGGCCTAAATAGCTCTCCCCTGCCTGTCAGGCACTGGAGATTGTGGCAAAAGAGGCACAGAGTCGCTGGAACCCCTGGTTTTCCTGCTGTTGCTCAGTGCTTGTCCCGTTCTGATCCCTCTCTTCCCCTCCCCAGCATGCTGGAAGCCTGCAAGACTGCTCAGGAAGTGACTCAGCTCTCTCAGGAGGGGCAGAAGATGCTGGAGAAGATCGAGCATTCCCCAAAGCCCGTGGTTGCTGCCATCAGTGGCAGCTGCCTGGGAGGAGGCCTGGAGGTACCGGGCAGTGGTGGCTGTGCCAGCAGGGTGGGGGCTGAGGGTGCAGTTCTGGGGCTGTGCAGGGGGTGCCGGCAGGGCCAGCGCTGGGAGAGGGGCTGTGGGGCCTCAGGAGGGCTCCTTGCCTTGTGCAGGTGAGTCTTGGCTTGGCTGTGCCTGGGGCTCTGCTGCTGCTGTGGAGAGGGAGCAGGTCAGGTGTGAACCTGTGTGGCCAGGCCGGTGTGTTGGGATGAGTGTTCCAGGGAAAACCGGCCGATTCCAGCAGGCACTGGATCTGCACCAGCGCTGCTGGCAGAGCCCAGGCTGGGAATTGCTGCTGTTCAGATGGAATGAGCCCTGTATCCCAGCAACTTCCATTCTCCACAGGGTGGCTGTGAGAGGGATGAGTGTGGGGGCCCAGCCAGGCTCCTGCCTGCCCCTTCAGCTGGATCCAGTGTTTGCCTTGGGATCTCCATCCAGGATTTCTGTAAACTCTGGTAGTTCCTGGAGCAGAGTTGTTACTAAAGCAGAATAACCTTGGAATGGAGTCTCCTTGGTTTGTGTGGATTTCTCAGGCAGTCACAGCTTTGTAAACACATTGGGGTGACACATCTGGATTTATCCAGGGATAGATAAACCAGGAGTCATGGCTGATCAGTAGATGGGACCACACTGTCAGTGTAGTGAGTTAACACAGCCCTTGGTGGTCTGGGTGGGATTTAAAGCCAGCCTGGCTCAGTTTGGTGGTTTCATGCTCATCTCCTACCTGTTTGCTGTCATATCCCGGAAGGAGCCATCAGTGAGCACAGAGGGAATGTGGGCAGCTGGATTAGGGAACTGGGGTCGGGAGGGAGGCTGAGGCAGGGAGCTGTGTGCTGGATTCCCAGTTCTCCCGTGGTCTTTCCCAGGGAAACCTTTGCTTGTCTGTCCCTTCCTAAAGGTCGCCATTGCCTGTCACTACAGAGTGGCAACAAAGGACAGGAAAACCGTCCTGGCCACGCCTGAGGTGCTGCTGGGTCTGCTGCCCGGAGCAGGGGGTACTCAGAGGCTGCCAAAGATGGTGAGTGAGAGAAAAAGCTTTGCCCCACAGCCCCCTGTGTGTGGCCTGCTCCCACTCTGCCATCCCCTTCCTGCCCTTCCAGGTGGGACTCCCCGCGGCCTTCGACATGATGCTGACCGGGAGGAACATCCGCGCCGACAGAGCCAAGAAGATGGGGCTGGTTGACCAGCTGGTGGAACCCCTAGGTCAGACACCACACAGGGGATGCCCCTCGCTGGCTGGATGTGCTGCCTTGCCAGGGAACCTCTGCCCTCTCCAAACGGGGTGGGGGAGCTGTCGGTGCAGGGGGCAGAGCTCAGGGGGTCCCTGTTCCCCCCCCTTAGGAATGCTGTTCCCCCTTAGGGACCTGGAAATGCCAGGCTGCTGCTGCTGCAGCCCAGCCAACAGGGAGAGGTCAGCCTGGAGGGCAGGCTGCTGCCTGTCTTGTTAAAGCTAATTGTGCAGATAAGGGCCCACGTTCCTCCTCGTTTGTCATGGCAGGGGACAGATGGCAGCCCCTGATGGAAGGACGGTGGGTGAGTGATGTCTGCATTTCTGCAGCCTGCAGATGGTAATCTGGGAGGAGATCTGCAGAAGGCAGCCCCCCCTGGCTCAGGCCTCTGAATTGCCAGCTGGCTGTCAGCTGGACAGAGGAATTCCTTGCAAACTGCAGGATTCCAGGTGCTGAGCAGGCTGTTCCTTCACTGGGGCAGCGTTCCTGGAAGGTGACTAAATGGAGGAGTTCGTGAGGACTGAACTAGAGGGAGGACTAAACCCTGCAGAGCCTCCTCTGAAAGGTGTGAGCAGCCCCACCCAGGAGCTGGAATGAAAACCACTGGTCCAGCTGGTGCTGCCCTGGAGCTGCAGGGTGCCTGAAGGGGAAGGAAGTAAATGAAAGGATGGGCAATGCCAGGGAAGCCCTGGGGTGTGGTCTGTCCCACATGCTGACCTCAGCTGGGTCACGAAATCCAGAGTGACCTGGGTTGGAAGGGCCTTTAAGGCTCATGCTGTCCCACCCCTGCCATGGGCAGGGACACCTCCCACCAACCCAGGTTGCTCCAAGCCCCGTCCAACCTGGCCTTGGACACTTCCAGGATCCAGGGGCAGCCACAGCTTCTCTGGGCAACCTGTGCCAGGGCCTGCCCACCCTCACAGCCAGCAATCCCTTCCCAGTCTCCCATCTCTCCCTGCCCTCTGGCAGTGGGAAGCCATTCCCTGTGTCCTGTCCCTCCATCCTTGTCCCCAGTCCCTCTCCAGCTCTCCTGGAGCCCCTTCAGGCTCTGCCAGGGGCTCCAAGCTCTCCCTGGATCCTTCCCTTCTTCAGGTGAGCCCTCCCAGCTCTCCCAGCCTGGCTCCAGAGCAGAGGGGCTCCAGCCCTGGCAGCATCTCCGTGGCCTCCTCTGGGCTGTCTCCAGCAGCTCCACGTCCTTGTGCTGCTGTTCCCCAGGGCTGGGGCAGCTCTGCAGGGGGGTCTCAGCTGAGGGGGCAGAGGGGCAGGATCCCCCCAGCCCTGCTGCCCACGATCCCTGTGGGACCAGCCCAGGATACACAGATATCCTTTGCTGTGTTTGTGCTCATAAAACAGATTCATGGTTCCCATGGCTGGAGTTAAAATTGCCTGGATAAACTTTCCCACTTTATACCTGCTTAGATGTGAATTGGCTTTTAAGGGGCAGCAAGTGTGGCTTTTTACACCCACAATTATCCTGTGCTGCTGAAAGGGAAAGGGAGCTTTCTGAGGAGCTGTTGGGAATCCTGGCTCAGCCCAGATTAAGCACATAGGAGGAACACAGAAATACAAATTACATGCAAACAGGCATTCCCTGTTCATCCAAAGAGCAGCCAGTGCCAGGAGGTTCCTGCTGAGGGCTCCTCTTCTCTCTGTGCCTGGGGGAAAGCAGCTTTACCTGGGGTGATGCTTTCACTGATTATAGAAAGCTTTGAAGGAGGCAATTTCATGGGGTACAACCAGTTCTTCCTCAGCTGGGAACCCTACAGCGTTCCCTGGATCCCATTTGTAAAGGAACCAGGTGGGAATGGGCAGCTTGGAGCTGCTGGGCTAGGACTCCACAAAACGTTGGGAGGGGGTGGCAGGTAAAGTAAACCCCTGTGTGGGGCATCAGCTGCCCTGTCTGAATAGTTCTCACTTAAAAATGAGCAGCTCTTTTCTTCAGCTGGGCTGTCAAAATCCAGCACTTGTTGCATCCAGCCAGGCTAAAGGAAAGGGGAAATCAGCACTGACATCCTGTGGCATATCAGCTCACCAAAGCTGAAGGTCCCAGCCTTCAATGGTGAGAGCAGAATTTGGGAGCTGGTGAGGTTTGAGCTCTGAACTCCCAAATGCTCTCGGATTTCTGGTAAATTCTCTGTAATTCACTGGGCATTGCTGAACGGTAGATTTATTCAGCAGCTCTGGGCTGTGTTTTCTGTGCTGCCTGTAAAATGAAATACAGGAGAGCTGGAGAGGGACTGGGGACAAGGAATGGAGGGACAGGACACAGGGAATGGCTTCCCACTGCCAGAGGGCAGGGACAGATGGGAGATTGGGAAGGAATTGCTGGCTGGGAGGGTGGGGAGGGGCTGGGCTGGAATTCCCAGAGAAGCTGTGGCTGCCCCTGGATCCCTGGAGTGTCCAAGGTCAGGCTGGAGCCACCTGGGCCAGTGGAAGGTGTTCCTGCCCATGGAACAGGACATTCTTGAAGGTCCCTTCCCACCCAAACCATTCTGGGTTTCTGTGATCAAAACCTTAAATTTGAAGACCTCAGTGTTTTGTTGAGGGGGAGAGTAGTGGGACCTAAAGAGGAAGGGGGTTTGTTTTGCCTTTTTTTTTTCCCCTTTTGCTTTTGTTTTTCCCCATCTCCTGTGTCAGGGGGTGTCTGGGGGGGCTTTCCTTGGCTCTGAGGACTCTGTGCAGCACCTGGGCATGTTCAGAGCAGTTCGTGTGAAGGTGATTGAGGTTACCCAACTCAAGGATACAGGGTTGTCATCTCACCAGGTTAGTTCAGTGAGTTCAGAGGCAGCCCAAGGCCTCACATTTGCCTGCAGGGTCTTCTTGTTGGCCTGTGCAGCCTCCCTGGGCACTGCTCTGTCATTAATGACTCTCACTAATGACTCGGTGTTTGCCTCTGGCAGCTCCTCACAGCTGCCTGTCCAGCCCCGTGCTGGATCCTGTCCTGATGATGCAACTGTCTGGAAATGAGGGGGATTCCTGTGCTTGGGAATTGTGCAACCCACCCTCAGAGGTTGCTGAAACTGGTTGGGTGGTGACTTGCCTTGTTGTGGGGCAGCTTTAAGCGAGGCCAGGAGTTACCGTGTGTTGCAGTGGCTCAAGCAATGAGACATCTCCTGCAGTTCAAAGGTTGGGATTTGTTGGACATTGGCTCCTGTCCAGGTAATTTTCAGGGGCACAGCACTTCCAAAATGCTGTCTGTGTTAGCAACAGGTCAGAGGAACAAAGGGCACAGGTGGCACAGAGACGGTCAGGAGCTGAAATGGGCCCAAAGAGGTCACGGAACCTCCGTCCTTGGAGGAGGTCAGAGACTGGCAGAAGGTGTTCCTGAGCAACCTGGTCTAATTCCAGAGCTGGATGTGCCTTTGAACTTGGCCCTGCTCCCGCTGGGAGCTGAGATTCCAGCCTTTCTGATTGATGCTGTGTAATAAATCCCTTGGGGCCTTCCCGTGGTCCCTGCTGGGCCTTCCCACCGTCGCTCCTGACCAAGAGACGTCCACCGGGAGGGGGGTTGGAGTGGTAGCAGTTCAAAAGCCCATCATGCTGCTGTGTGGTCCTGGCTTCTCCACATGCCCCCTCCCTCAGGGATAACTCCTGCTGTGTCCCCTGTGCTCCCCAGGGCCGGGTGTGAAGGCTCCCGAGGCGCGGACGATCGAGTACCTGGAGGAGGTGGCCATCGGCTTTGCCAGGGGCCTGGCCAACAAGACCGTGTCTGCCAAAAGGTCCAAGGGGCTGATGCAGAGTAAGTGTGTGGGGGACTGTTGTGAACCCAGCCTGGCTTCTCTGGGCTGGGCTCCTGCTCCTGCTTGTTTGTGTTTCCATGGTTATTCCATGCTGGAATCGCCCCTCGAGCCGGGTGGGTTGGTGGGGAAAACACCGCTCTGCAGATCTGGGCTCTGGCAGAGCTGGACCTGGTGGCTCCTGGGGTTTGCTGGAAGGGAGCCAGGCCTCGAGGGGGAGAGGGAGCAGCTGCCTCCAGGGGACTCTGCACCTTCAGAGTTTCAGTGGCAGGTTGTGTGCCAGGCTCGTGTAGTCAGGTGGGAAGAGGCCCGTGGGTCTGCTATCCACACTGATCCTCGTTAGCAGAGCCCAGAAACAGGGACACCTCCGTGGGAGTCCTGCTCCCCAGGGCTCAGTCTGTCACCACTGGTGTTGGGAGGGGGAAACTTGTCCCTGGAGCAGGCCGTGGAGAGCAGCCCCTGCTGCCCGGGGCTGGTTTCAGGTGCAGGTTTCTGTGGCAGCTTTGCAGCTGTTTGCTGTTTGCAGTGCCCTGGCTTTGCAGTCAACTCCCTGAGGGGCTGGCTGTGCACCCAGCCCTGTGCTGACACCTGCTCTGTCCCTCCCTGCAGGGCTCACAGACTATGCCATGGCTCTGCCCTTCGTGAGGCAGCAAGTTTACAAGACCGTGGAGAGCAAAGTTCAGAAGCAAACCAAAGGACTCTACCCCGCTCCCCTGAAGATCATCGAGGTGACACAGCGAGCTGGGAGGGCCCCTGGGGAGGTGGGGCTGTGGGGTGACGTGGGGCAGGCAGAGGGGAGGTGGTTCCTGCCCCTCAGTCCTGAGCAGGGCTGGCTCTGTGCTGTACTGAGCAAGGGTGGGGGAATTCAGAGTCACTGCCCAAAGCAGGAGCACCAGTTTGGGTGGGACTGGTCCCAGTGAGGGGTAGGGCAGGAATCCCAGCTGAGGGAAGGCTTAGCTGGAATATTTTGTCCATGAAACTTTCAGCTGCAGTTTTTCCAGGTTTCCTATACAGTCTCTAAAGAGCTCAGGGAGCCTGTTTGAAGCCAGAAAAATAAAAATTGTTACAATGTTCCTAGCACTGACCACACAATACTTTAAAAGTTAATCCTCTGGGTTACTCAAGCATTGTAGTACTTGCAGACACACTGCAGGCTTGAATCCTTATTTTAAAATGACCTTTCACTATTTAAATTGTTGCCAAGACTCCTCTAAAACCTGTGAGCGACTCTGAGAGCCGTGAGGCTGCAGGAGCACAGCTCCTGGAAACCCAAGGGATGGCTCCAGAGGAACCTGATGGAAAACTCCTCACCCGTCCTGTGCTGGAGTGAAGGACAGGGTGACTCCCAGCTCTGCCTTGAGCAGCAGGGACAGGACCCAGGGGGGCTGAACCGTGCCTGGAACAGTGGGGAGGGGTCATGGGGACAGCAGGTGCTCCTGCTCAGGGTAGGTGTTTGCAGACAGGACTGAGCAGTGTCTTTGTGCTCCTGGCCCAGGTTGTGAAGACAGGTCTGGATCAGGGCCATGATGCTGGATACCTCATGGAGTCCCAGGTAAGGAGATGTGTCCTGGCAGCAATCAGATCATCTGGGGCTGGGGGACCCATCTTTAACCACACAGAGGGTTCCTCACAGCCTGCTCCGAGTGCTGCCTTGCTCCCTGCCCCTCCCTGTGGCACTGGGGCTGGGACAGAGGCCTGTCTGCTCACAGGAGTCTGGGATACCAGCTGTCAGGGGTCTGGGATACCAGCTTGGGCCTTCTCTCCCTCCTCTCTGTGTTACCTTTGGGTGGGAATAACCAGAACACTCCAGCTCTGACAGAGCAGCACGTGGATTCTCTGTGTGTGGGCACTGCCTGTTGTGACTGCCCAGGGTAACCCCGTGGTGTGGGTGCAGTGCTCTCGGTCTCATCACCATTTCCAGCCAGTTTGGTGTCACTTCCTCCAAGAGTTAACTCCCCTTTTTACCAGTGCTGTGTTTGCTGTCACCTTTTTTCACCGTGGCTTTTGTTCAGGGTGTTGATTCTGCGTTCCTCCTGCTTTGCTGTTTGTGCTGTTTGCTCATCCAGCACTTTGTGCTGCTCCTTTTTCTCCCTCCCACCCTTTTTTGGTGCTTCTGAAGACGGGGTGGGTTTTTTTCCAGTAGCAGTTTCTCCCTGGAGAGCTGGGAATGGAGAGGAGAGAAGGCTGGGAGAGCTGGGACTGGAGAAGGTTGTGCGTGTTTATTGCACACACACAGTTTTTGATCCCTCTCTTTCTCTGCCCTTGTCTCTGCCTTTAAAACCAACCTGCCCCACATTAGTTTTCCCTCACTGGTCCCAGTTTTGCTACAGTTGTGCTCAAATCTGTGGTTTCTGGTGCCGAAGGGGCGATTCTGGCTGTGTGCAGTGTCACTGGTGGGTTACCCTGACAGCTCTGCAAGACCTGAGTCCCCCGCAGAGCCACGTTTTCATCTGATTATCTCTGCATTTGGGCCATGTCTCATGTCCCTGCCCCTTAAATGCCAGTGAAATCCATCCATCTCCCACTTCCCTGCTGTGCTTTGCAGCTCCTTTTGTTCCCTGTGTGCCAAGGCCTGCTCTGGAGCTGGAGCTGGAGCTCTCTCCCCACCTCTCCAGTGCCCTCCGTGCTGGTTGTACATTCCACCCACGTCTGGCCTGGTGCTGGATAAAAGCCCTGGGATACTCTGTTCCTTAGGGCAAAGAATGGAGGTTTTTTCAGCAGGATGGAGATCTTCCCAGAACCTCTGAAGAATAACAAGTGTCAGTTGTCGTGCCTTTTTTTTTTACTGCCTCCCTCTGTCCCCCCCCCAGGACAGGAGTTGCAGATTCTCTGCCAGGCTTTGTTTTGGGGGTTTCCACAAGGCCCTGCCTGGCAGGGCAGTGGTGAAGGAAGGTGCAGCCTGCTCCCAGCTGCATTCTCTGCTTCTCCAGGGCTGACCTGGCTCGGGCAGCATCACTTTTGTGTCTCCCTGTGCTGTCTTCAGTCCTGCTGAGAACTTTCATGCTGAGTACTGGGAGGTTTTGTGGGATTCGGTTTTGCTGCCTCTCTGTGATGCTGAGAAATGAGATCAGCTGCTGCTGTCACAGAGAGCTGACCTGTTTATGAGGACTTTTCCTGAAGCCTGAGGACAGGGCACTTCCACCTGGATCCCTGGGGGCAGTGACCCCAACTAGTGCAGGATGCCCGTGGGGGAGGAAGGGTCCAAATGTCAGGGAAATCCAGCCCTGCCACCGAGGAAGTAGAATCATGGAATTGCTGAATGGTTTGGGTGGGAAGGGACCTTAAATCTCATCCCATTCCACCCCCTGCCATGGGCAGGGACACCTCCCACCATCCCAAGTTGCTCCAAGCCCCATCCAACCTGGCCTTGGACGCTCCCAGGGATCCAGGGGCAGCCACAGCTTCTCTGCCCAACCTGTGCCAGGGCCTGCCCACCCTCACAGCCAAGAACTCTTTCCCAATATCCCATCTTACCCTGCCCCCTAGGAAGCCATTCCCTGTGTCCTGTCCCTCCAGCCCTTGTCTCCAGTCCCTCTCCAGCTCTCCTGGAGCCCCCTCAGGCTCTGGAAGAGGCTCTCAAGCTCTCCCTGGATCCTTCTCTTCTCCAGGTGAGCCCCCCAGCTCTCCCAGCCTGGCTCCAGAGGGTTAGGGTTAGGGTTAGAGCAGAGGGGCTCCAGCCCTGGCAGCATCTCCGTGGCCTCCTCTGGACTGTCTCCAGCAGCTCCACGTCCTTGTGCTGCTGAGGAGAAGGTGGTGGGTGGTGGGGCAGGGTGGACAGTGCTCAGCCCAGAAGGTTCCTCTCCCCAGAGGTCTCCTGTGCCCCTGTCCCATTGCTGACCAGGTCACTCACCTGAGCAGTCACACGGTGCCTGTGCTGGCAGTGAGACAGCTGCTAACTCCCTGCTTCCCTCTTCCATTTCTTCCAGAACTTTGGCCAACTTGCACTGACCAAGGAATCCAAGGCGCTGATGGGGCTCTACCACGGGCAGGTGCACTGCAAGAAGAACAAGTTCGGAGCACCTCAGCGAGAGGTCAAGTGAGTGCAAGTGTGGGATGCCTGAAGGAGCAGTCCCAGCCTCTTGGAACGCTCTGGCCTGGACTCCTGGAGAGCTGTGGAGCAGGGCAGACAATTCCAGCCTCCAGGAGGCCGATCCGCTGCAGTTCAGAGGCTTCACTTGTGGGGTGAAACTCCTTGCACGGCCCCTCTGAACGTGGTGCCTGTGTGGATGGGATGAGTGTGAGTCTGAAATGCAGCCATTTCCAGATTCCAGCGTGTGCCCTCTGTCCCCTGTGCAGGACTCTGGCTGTGCTGGGAGCAGGGCTGATGGGAGCTGGCATCGCCCAGGTGTCCGTGGACAAGGGCATGAAGACCATCCTGAAGGACACGACGCAGAAGGGGCTGGACAGGGGCCAGCAGCAGGTCTACAAGGGGTATGTGGGTCCCAAGGGATTGGCTCCAAAGGGTGGGGTGGGGCTGCCTGTCCCTCTGCTGTCAGAGCTCCTGACCCCTCTGCTCTGCTGGAAGGAGCCATCTGGTGTCACAGGAAGGCTTTATCTTAAGGTTGTCCCACGCAGTGTGCTGGGATGTTGCTGCCATCAGGCCCAGTGCAGTCAGCCTTAGGGAGGCAGAGACCTCACAGCTGATGGCTTTGCTTTCAGATTGAGCAGTAACTGCTAGAGCTGCAGCCCATGCCAGGGAAGCCATCCCAGAGCAGGCCTCTGGAAAGCTGCACTTCCTTCCCTGCCCTCAGCTCTGACCTCCAGCTGAGCTGTGTGAGCAGGGCTCTCCTGCTCCCACGTGGAAAGGGGCCAGGGCACAGGGTGCCAGTGCTGCAGGGCTGGAGGGGTGCCCGTGGTGCTGTGGTGCCCCCCCAGCAGCCTGGCTGGGCACCCAGGGGGCCGTGACAGAGCTGTCCCTCCCCAGGCTGAACAGCAAGGTCAAGAAGAAGAGCCTGACATCGTTTGAGAGGGACTGCATCCTCAGCAACCTGATGGGGCAGCTGGACTACAAGGGCTTTGAGAAGGCAGACATGGTCATCGAGGCCGTGTTCGAGGACATCAACGTCAAGCACAAAGTGCTGAAGGAGGTGGAGGCCGTGAGTATGGGGGTCCTGAGCTCCTTATATGGGGGTCCTGAGCTCCTGCTGCCCCTGAGAGCTGAGGGGTCCTGGGCTGTGCTTTTGGGGCTGTCACAACCCCTTGGTGCTGCAGTTTGCTTCTTGGTCGCAATCAGTCGTGTCAGGACACGGGTGAGCATCAAGGGCAGCTTTTCTGTCCACTGAGGACGTTCCCTGCTCAGGAAGGAGTTTTAGCTGAATGGGGCAGTTCTGACATTCCCTGACTCCCAGGAGCTGCTTCCAAAAGAGCTGAGGACGTTTGTGTGAGGACACTGGTACGACAGTGATGTCCTTGGGTGTGTGCACACCTCGCAGCCCTTCACCTGCTGCCCCTGCCCTGCGGCCACTGCTCTGCTCTGTTCAAGGGTTAAAAAAAGTTGTATGGCAGAGGGGCTGGTGTGGGCCCCTCCTGCAGTGTCTCGTGTGGCAGAAACATGGGAGCTCTGGGACTAATCCTGCAGCCCTGGGGAGGGCTCAGGGGAGGGCAGGGCTGCCTGACTGATGCTGCCTGAGCTCTGATAGTGCCTGCCACCCCTTCCACAGGTGATCCCTCCTCACTGCATCTTCGCCAGCAACACCTCGGCCCTGCCCATCAGCCAGATTGCTGCTGCCAGCAAGAGGCCTGAGAAGGTGAGTCCCCAGGGCCACACGCGGAGCTGCCCGTCCGTGGGGAGCTGCCTTTGCTTTGGGGACCTTCTGCTGCCTCCTCAGGACGTGACACAGCTCATCCTCTGCCCCCCAGAGGCCCCAGAGCTGCTGGTCTTGGGGCAGGAGGGAGGGGGGTCAGGGTACACTCCCCCAAGGGTGGTTTGGTGAGGCAGGTGGGGGCAGAGAGGCTGTGGAAGGGTCAAGCTGGTGGGGATCAGCTCTGCTTCAAAGGAAACAGGGCCAGGAGGAGAGGGAACAGCCTCCAGCTGGGCCAGGGGAGGGGCAGGGGGGACATCAGGAGGAATTTGTCCCTGGAAAGGGTGGTCAGGCACTGGCACAGCTGCCCAGGGAGGTTTGGAGTGCCCAGCCCTGGAGGTGTCCCAGGCAGGCCTGGCCGTGGCACTCAGTGCTCTGGGCTGGGGAACAGGGTGGGCATCGGGCACAGGGGGGATCCATGGGCTGGGAGGGCTTTTCCAACCTCAGTGATCCCGGGATTCTGTGACTCGGGCTGAGAGAATTCCAGCCAAGAAAACTTCTGTCATTTTAATAAACTGAGCAGACATAGGAGGGACTTGCCATAATGGGGAAATGTCTTCTCCTTCCTGGAGAAAGCACTGAGCTGGCAGCAAAAAAAGTCAGTGGCTGGAAGCTGAAGTCAGAGGTGCTGAGACTGAAGACATGGTCAGCCCTGGGATCAGCTCCTGAGGGGGTGCTGAGGGTTCCTCTCACTCCAAATGATCCATGTGAACAGGGTGCCAGGAGCAAGCTAGCAGAGGTTTGGAGCACAGGACAACTGCATCCCTTTGCTCGAAGTGTAAGCAGCACATAAAGTATCTGCATCCTCCCCCCTTAGCCCAGGTGAGCAGAGTTGAGCAGGAGCACTGGTTCCTACACCCCTGAGGCCGGAGAGCAGGACCCTGCCAGGGTACCTGGGGTACCTGTGAGCTGTCAGAGGCTCCTGTCACCCTCCTGAACCTCCTCCTCGTTTGCTGCCAAACCTTTGTTCCATCAGAAATGCCAGCCGAGTCTCATTTGTTCGTCCTTGCAAATAACACCCTCTTGCTGTAGAAATTGCCTGTGCAGTGGCTCTTGATGTGGAAGCTCACAGGAAGTCAGTTAATTAATTGGTGCATTTTCTTTAATTAGTGTTGCAGTTTGCAGCTCTGCAAGGTGCCTCTGCCTTACACAGCCCCCGGGGCCAAGGTTGGCTGCCAGGGGGCACGAAGGTGACACGCTGGTGGCACGGTCACATTCACAGAGCGAGGCACAGAGCTGGATAAGCTGCACCTACCCTGGGTGCTGCTCCAGTCTGAGCCCAGCCCTGCCAGCTCAGGAGTCCCTGTGCCCTGCAGGCCACGCTGTGCCCCTCCTTTGCTCGGGGCAGGCTCAGCTGGGGCTCCCAGACAGGGTTTGCTGCCAGGCTGTGAAGTGCAGAGAGAGCTGGGCAGCACTCTTGGTGCTGTAAAGATTTACACCTTGATCCTGAGGCAGGAGCCGTGGGGAATGTGCTGTGTCCTTGGGAAAGCCGAGGAGAGGAGGGAGCTGGGGAGCATTCCTGCCAGAGAGGGATGGAGTGGAGTGTGGAGGGGGCACTGCAGCCCGAGCTGGCCTTCCCTGTGCACTTGACTTGCCCAGCAGATTCTTCTGGGAGCCAGGATCCGTGTTAACCCGAGCTCTTGGTCCTGCCCAGGTCATTGGGATGCACTACTTCTCCCCGGTGGACAAGATGCAGCTGCTGGAAATCATCACCACAGACAAAACCTCCCAGGACACGGCGGCCTCCGCCGTCGCCGTCGGCCTCAAACAGGGCAAGATCGTCATCGTGGTGAAGGTGAGGGATCAGGGCCCAGAACAGGAGCTGGGCCAGTGAACACAGGGGCCTGTGCACTGACAGCAGGGTGGAACGTGGCTCTGGGCACGCTGGCAGCAGCTGCTCCTGCCGGGGGGTGAAAAGGGAGGTCAGAAAGGGGCGAGCGCCCGCGTGACCCTCACGCGTCCCTGGGAGCAGCCGTGCGAGGGCCGCCAGGCACAGGTGCAGGGCCTGCAGGAGGAGCTGCCAGCCCGGCCCCACACGGGGACAGGGGGGCACCTGGCACGTCTGGATGTGTCTGAGGGGGCTGTCAGCACCTGGGCTCCCTGGCAGCCTGCCGGGACACGGGGCAGTGAGCAGCAACCCCGCCCTGCCCGGGCTCAGCCTTGGCTGGCAGGGGCAGGAATGCAGCTACAGAGGATGGAGATGGGATACTGGGGAAGGAATTCTTCCCCCTGAGGGTGGGGCAGGCCCTGGCACAGGTTGCCCAGAGAAGCTGTGGCTGGATCCCTGGAAGTGTCCGAGGTTTGGAGCAAGCTGGGATAGGGGAAGGTGTCTCTGTGTTCTCCCTCGTGCCTGAGGTTGCAGCAGTGCTGAGCAGGTGCTTGTCAGAAAGTGCTCTGGGCACCTCTCAGGGCCAGTGGGGATACAGTGCTGCTCCCCTGAGCCTCATCCCCAGCCCAGCTGCCTCCCTGAAGGGCAGTTTGCAGCTCCTCTGCTGCTTCCTGACTTTGTGGGAAGTACCAGAGGTGAAACAACTGCTTTTTGCTGGTTTCCCTTATGCTGAGCACCCTTTCCCTCATCAGCCTGTTGGGCTTGCTGAAGCAGCAGCCTGCCTGGGACCTCCAGGCACTGGTTCAAATAAAAACACAGTGACGGGAACTTCCAGGGAGTAAGTTCATGGAAGTGTCCAAACACTGCTGAGCCCTACAGGGAAAAAAAAAACCTCTTCTAGCAGTCGGTAACATAGTGTTAGAAAGGGGGTTTGGGGTGTCTGAACTGCAGCCTGGGCTGTGAAACACAGTTCTGGTGCTGCCAGGAGGCCGTGCTGCTGCAGCTGGTACTCACCTGGCTCCCTCTGTGCTCCCCTGCCCTAGGACGGGCCTGGATTCTACACCACCCGGTGCCTGGGGCCGATGCTGTCGGAGGTGGTCCGAGTTCTGCAGGTGAGCGTCCCGTGGGCTGCTGGGTGTCCACCAAATAGTCGTGGAAACTCTGTTTCTTCCTCGGGCAGGGCTGGGCCCAGCCTGGCTGTGGGCAGGAGGGGAGGTGGGTGCCCAGCCCTGGGGCTCGGGTTGTGCCCAGCCCGCTCCAGCTCCTGTTCCCACTCAAACCGCCGGTGGGGCCGCTCGCAGCGCGTGGGGAGAGAGCTCAGGACCTCCTTCGCCCTGACATCCCCTGGCTTCCCCCTGTGTCCTGCAGGAGGGCGTTGACCCGAAGAAGGTGGATGCCATCTCCACGGCCTTCGGGTTCCCGGTGGGAGCCGCCACGCTGATCGACGAGGTGGGCGTGGACGTGGCCACGCACGTGGCCGAGGACCTGGGCAAGGCCTTCGGGGAGCGCTTCGGGGGAGGCAGCATCGACCTCTTCAAGCTCATGGTGCAGAAGGGCTTCTTAGGTGAGGTGCTAAAGCTGTCTGCAGCTGAAGGGTTTGCTCTTGGCCCCAGGGAAAGCACCAGCGTCCACCGGCCTGTGCTACCTCAGCGGGAGAACAGCCCTGGGAGTGGGTCGGGAGTCCCTTCCACAGAAATGGTGCTGTTTGTAGGCATTAGGGGAGGCATCAGGGCCTGGCACAGTGGCAGCTCCTTGCCAAAGGGTCGGGTGGAGGCGGGTCCCTTCCCCCTGCCCCTGCTCAGAGGATGTGCCGTGGGAGCAGGAAGCGGAGCCGCGAGGAGATCACAGGCCAGGGTGTCAGGAGGGAGCAGGACACATGGCAGGATGTGACCTGGCTCCTTTTATCCCCCGGCAGGTCGCAAGGCAGGGAAAGGCTTTTATGTTTACCAGGAGGGAGTGAAGAACAGGAGTGTGAATTCCGGCATGGATGAAATCTTGGCACAGTTCAAGGTGCCGGCGAATCCTGACGTGTGAGTACGGGGTGAGACCGAGTGGGGGTGGATCAGAGCCTGCCCAGCTCCTGGTGCCTCTGAGCAGCAGCACGAGGGGCATCAGGAGGTGCTGAAGGTCATGATGCTGCCAGGGCTGGAGCCCCTCTGCTCTGGAGCCGGGCTGGGAGAGCTGGGGGGGCTCACCTGGAGAAGAGAAGGATCCAGGGAGAGCTCAGAGCCCCTTCCAGAGAGAGGGGCTCCAGGAGAGCTGGAGAGAGACTGGGGACAAGGCATGGAGGGACAGGACACAAGGAATGGCTTCCCACTGCCAGAGGGCAAGGAGAGATGGGAGATTGGGAAGGAATTGCTGTCTGGGAGGGTGGGCAGGCCCTGGCACAGGTTGGGCAGAGAAGCTGTGGCTGCCCCTGGATCCCTGGAAGTGTCCAAGGCCAGGTTGGATGGGGCTTGGAGCAATCTGGGCTGGTGGGAGGTGTCCCTGCCCATGGCAGGGGTGGAATGGGATGATCTTTAAGGTCCCTTCCACCCAAGCCAGGCTGGGATTCCACGACATTGCCCACCACGGAGCCTGATCAAGCCTTTGCCTTTATCCCAAATCCATCTCCACACAATCCTGGGTGATGGGCTCCAAGGGGCCCACCCTGATCAGGGGGCTTGGACTGGACAAGCTCCAGCGGTCCCTCCCACCCTCAGCCATTCTGTGGTTCTTCAGGACACGTCCCAGAACTTATTCCTGCCCCTCCTGAGGACAGGGACAGTGCCAGGGAGACCATTCCGCTCCCCCTGCGCTGTTCCGGGTGCTCTGCCCTCACGTGCTGTCCCCGCAGCTGCTCGGACGAGGACATCCAGCTGCGCCTGGTGACGCGCTTCGTGAACGAGGCCGCGCTGTGCCTGCAGGAGGGGATCCTCAGCACCCCCGTGGAGGGGGACATCGGGGCTGTCTTTGGCCTGGGCTTCCCACCGTGCCTGGGAGGTGAGAGCCGGGGGCTGGGCTGCAGTTAGGGCCGGGTTTGAGCTGCAGCAGCCTGGGGAAACAGCCTCAGTTTGCACCAGGAGAGGTTTAGGTTGGACACTGGGGGGAAATGTCCTCCTGGAGAGGGCTGTCCAGCCCTGGCACAGCTGCCCAGGGCAGTGGTGGAGCCCCCGACCCCGGAGGGATTTAAAAGCTGTACAGATGTGGCACGTGGGGACATGGGTCAGTGGTGGCCTTGGCAGTGCTGGGGGATGGTTGAACTCAGTGTCTTAGAGGGCTTTTCCAACCTAAATAATTCTACGACTCCTGCCCTGCCACCTGCCTGGGTGGGCAGGGGTTGTGATGGAGCCCAAGGACCCACCTTTACCCGCTGCCCTCAGGCACAGCAGAGCTGATATAACCTCAGCCACACTTTCTCCAGCCAAGGGACTTGCTGGGCCCAGCCAGGAGCACGGACAGAGTTCCCTGGGACCCACCCATGACCTGGCTGGATGGCCGTGGCTGTGGATGAGGCACGAGCTGGGGGTTGGGTCACAGCTGGTCACACCACGGGCCCCCAGGCACGAGGTGGTGCTTCTGCCACGTGCCTGGTGCTTTCCCTCCTTGGGCCAAGCTCAGACTGAGGGAGCAGCCCCAGGGGACTTCCTGCAGGAGCGTGGAGCGACAGGACAAGGGGGAACGGGTTCAGACTTTCAGAGAGGAGGGTTAGATGGGATATTGGGAAGGAATTCCTAGCTGGGAGGGTGGGCAGGCCCTGGCTCAGGCTGCCCAGAGAAGCTGCCCCTGGATCCCTGGAAGTGTCCCAGGCCAGGTTGGACGGGGCTTGGAGCAACCTGGGCTGGTGGACAGTGTGCCTGGCCACGGCAAGGGGTTGGAATGAGAGGAGCTCTAAGCTCCCTTTGCAGAACCATTCCATGATCCCGTGATGATCCATGGAATCCCACCTTGTGCCCCGCACTCGGGGTCAGCCCCTGCCCGGTGCAGGGGGGGAGGGCAGCGAGCAGGGTCCTGGCTCACCCCGACGAGAGGCTGAGGGTCCCTGCTGGAGAGCGGTGGGCTGGGCAGAGGTGGTGCTGCCAGCCCTGCAGGCCCCTCGGTGCCTGTCCCTGCGTGCCACCACCGTGTCCCTGAGTGCCACCGCCGTGTCCCTGAGTGCCACCGCCGTGTCCCCGCGCCCGCAGGTCCCTTCAGGTTCGCCGACTCCTATGGAGCCCGGCAGCTGGTGGACAAGCTGCGCAAGTACGAGGCCGTCTACGGCAGCCAGTTCACGCCCTGCCAGCTGCTGCTGGACCACGCCAACAGCCCCAGCAAGAAGTTCCACCAGTGAGGGACCCGGGGACGCGCCCACAGCAGCTCCCCGCTGTCCGTAGGTTCATCTCCAGAGCACCTGGGGGAGGAGGGAGGGAGGGGGGCACCGGGCTGCCTCCTGGCTTGCAAGTCATTTCAAGTGCCTTATCAGCCACTGTGTGTTGGGCACCTCCGTCCCGGGCCAGCCTCTCCGTGCTGGAGGGGGGATTTCTGCTGCCTTTGCCTCCATGCTGCGGCCTCCGGAGCTCCCAGTCTGGCCAGTAACATCCAGCACGTGGCTGGAAGCCGAGGCCTTGCCTTTCCATGGACATCTACCAAAATAAAGCCCCGCCTCCTGGGTTTGGACTCCGTTCCTGCTTCTCCTCCCGTCTCCCTGGGCAGCACTGAGGGAGAGGAGTCGGGAATAAAGGGTCCTGATAGTGCTCTGGGGTCCCCTCCCATGGAGGAGCTATGGGGAGGGGCAGGATGGCAGCTCTGTCACCTCTGCCATCACTCAGGGGCTGGGAGGAGCCCCTGGCTCCGTCTGGCCCCGAGTGCTGCCGTGGGTGATGCTGGCGGGCGATCCCGGCAGATGGACCCGCCTGTAATTGCAGATCAAGCAGCCAGAGGCCAGAAGGGTCCCCCGTGGGGAGAGCTCAAGTTAAACTAAAAGGCTGTAAATCTCCAGGCACCTGTCACTGGCCTGGCCCCCCCCATCCCTGGCTTCCTCTCCAGCTTCCAGCCGTTCTCCTGCGCCCTGGCAGGGCTTGGTCCCCGAGATGCTGCTCCTCGTGCCCCTCTCTGCTTGTTTCTGGGAGCAAAACAGCTCCAAGAGTAACATCTTCCCTTGAAGGGACATGAGTCCCTTCCCGAGAGGTGGGAAGGGTCTGCAAGGGTGGCAGAGACCCCCAGAGCCTCCCTCCCCACCTGTTCCCCCTTTCCCTCTTCCCCGAGCAAGGGGCTCCTCCTGCAGCTCGTTACTCTCCCGTACGTTTATTGTGCTAATCCACAAGGATTAAGTTAAACCAGTCAGCGCAAAATCCAGTGTTTTCCAGCCCATCAGGGCCAAAATTACTGTCCAGTGTTAAGATGGGAAGGGGGAGGGCTGGGCAATGGGGCTGCCGGGGGGAGGAGGAGCCCCAGCGCTGCCCCACTGCAGCAGGGACGGGAATAGGGCGAGGTCCGGGTGCCGTGGGGACCTCCCCGGGGGCCAGGGGGTCCCCAGCGTGGGGTTAGATCTTGGGGCGCCAGCCCTTGATGAACTGCATGATCTTCTTCACCTGGAGCTTGGTGAGGCGGAAGTCGTCGGCCAGGATCTCCTCGCTGAGCTGCACGAAGATGCTGCCGTCGATGCGCTCGCGGGCGAAGAAGCTCACGACGTCCTCGGAGAGGCCGATGAAGCGCAGGCACTTGGACACCTCCTCCAGCGACAGGGCCGACAGGTCGGCGGGGGGCAGCCAGGCCGCGCTGTCCCCGCCGGGCCGGGGGGCGGCCGGCGGGGCCCCCCCGTCCCCCCGCGCCGCGGGCGGCACCTCGATGACACCCTGGGCCAGGTACAGGCGGGCGACGCCCTCGGCCCCGCGCAGGACGGCGGGGGACAGCGGGGACGCCCCCCGGATGACGATGCCGTCCCCCTCCAAACCCTTGGGGGGCCGGGGGGGCGCCGACGGCTCCTCGAGGGGGGCGAAGGGCTCCGGCGAGGAGGAGGAGGAGGGGGGGGCGGCCGGGGCCGAAGGTGCTTTGGACCACTCGGGGCTCTCGGGCCACTCGGCCGCGCCGGCGAAGGGGTTGAGGGCGCCGAAGGGGGCAAAGCGCTTCTGGGGGTGCGGGGGCTTGAGGCGGGGGCAGCTGCGGAAGGGCTTCAGGGGGGGCTCGGCCCCCGGCAGCGGCGGCGAGCAGCCACTGCCCGCCCCGGCGCCCGGCTCGGCGTATGCCCAGGGGTCGGACCAGGAGCCGGGCGGCGGCTGGGCCGAGGCGGGGGGCAGCGGCCGCCCGGGGGGCTCCCCGGCCTTGCAGTCGCCCCAGGTGCAGGGGTAGCAGTACAGGGAGTAGGCGTCGGGCGAGGGTGAACCGCTGCCGCTCCGCGGGGCCGACCTGCCGGGCAGGGGAGCGTCACCTTCACCCCGTCCCCACCGGGGACCCTCCACCCCCGGCCTTCAACCCGCCGCCCCATCCCCACCCCGCGGCGTCCCCGGAGCCACTCACCCGTCGTGGAGCCCCGAGGAGTAGTAGGAGAGGCTGGGGCTGGGCGAGGGCGCCAGCTTCGGGCAGCGCAAGGGGGCCGGGGGGCTGCAGGGGCCCGGGGCGCGGCTGCCCCGGGGCGGCACGGGGGGCGCGTTCAGCAGCCGGCACTCCTCCTTCACCTGGGAACGGGGGCGAGCGCCGTCAGACCCCCAGGCCCCGGGGCCGGGGCACCCCGCGGCTGGAGGGCGACGATCGAGCCCCGAAGCTCTGGGTGACAGCGGGGTCACCTGGGACCCGTGCACTGCCTGGCGGGGGAAACCCTCCAAAATTTGGGTACTCCGTGATGAAGGGGAGCCTGAAATTACTGGGTACTGAAAGTTGGGTACTCTGTTGTGCAGAGAAGGTCAGAAGATTTGGGTGCCCCGCAGTGCTGGGAAGCCCAAGAGCTTCAGGTACCCTCGGTGGTGCAGAGCCCTGGGGAACCGGGGACCGAAGAGGATTTGGGTGTCCAAGCAGAGATGGAGAGGGACCCCCGGGCCAGGGGACGGGGCTCTGGGGAGGGGGTCGGGCTGGCCCTGCCGCGGGACTGGTTGTGCTACGGGGATCACCGTGCGGTGAGCGGGCTGAGAGACCCCCGGTGTGTCATTCCCCAGCCCCGGGGGTGCCATTCCCCAGCCCCGGGGACAGGACCGCGGCTCTTACCGCCTCCGATTTGGGTGGCACCGGGGGCGGGGTGTCCCCGCGGGGCTCGTCCCCGGGGCGGTGCGCGGAGCCGAAGGACACCAGGTCGGGCCGGCCGCCGGTGCTGCCCGGCTCGCAGCAGCCCTCCGGGCCGGCATTGCTCCAGAGCTCCTCGTAGGGAATCTCCAGCGGCTCCTGAGTCCTGAACTCGGGCTCGGCCCAGTCGGGCGTCATGTACTCGCGGTCGGGGTCGGGGAAGTCGGGCAGCGGCGGGCGGGGGGCGGCCCCGCCGAGGCCCCGCGGTCCGTGGCAGCGGGCGGGGGGCTCCCGGGGGGGCTCCCGGGAGCCGCAGGCACAGAGGGAGAGGCGCTGGAGGGGCTGGCTGAGCTCGTCGCGGGCGCAGGCGGGCAGGCAGAGCCGCAGGCGCCGCGGGCTGGCGCATTCCTCCAGCAAGTCCGGCTTGGCCTCCCGCACGGCCCGCGAGTACTCGTCGGGGTTGAAGCGGTCGTGGCAATACGCGGCGCTGTCCCGCAGCAGCTTCTCCAGCTGCGGGTCCCCGGCCAGCAGCCCCTCGGGCAGCTGGAAGCGGGGCATGTCGGTCAGCAGGAGGAAGTGGAAGGGCACCAGCTCGTCCCGCCGCAGGATGCAGCACAGCACCACCGTCTTGGAGATGATGCTGACCAGCTTGTAGCAGTGCCCCTCGCGGATGGCGTGCAGGTCGTAGGGGTTGCGGGCGGGCCGGCTCGGCACCGCCACGTTCACGGGCAGCCGCACCTTCTCGATGATGCTGCGGATGGTGTGCTCGCCCTCCTGCAGCCGCAGCTCCAGCGGGCTGCGCGTGCTGAAGCGGCCCTTGCACTGGAAGGGCAGGCTCAGGCTCTCGTTGGTGCGGTGGTTCATGCAGATCAGGCACGGCATCTTGCCCTTCACCTGCCGCGCCCCCGCCGCCGGCGCCGCCTTGCCCAGCTTGCGCAGGAGGGTGTTGAAGCGCGACTTCTCCTTCACAGTCTTGGCGCAGAGGATCTCAGCCTGCCCCATCAGCGTCAGCTCGTCCCCCGCGTTCAGCGTGAAGTTGTAAACCTCGCTGTCCTCGCTGAACTCCCCCGACACCACCTGCCCCGGCGTCGCAGCCCAGCGTGAGACCAGAGCCCTGCCAGGGCGTCCCACACCGACCCTGACGTCCCACCGCTATCCTGTAACGCCCCCCTGCCATCCCCTGGTGTCCCACCACAATCCCTCGTGCTCCACCACCATCTCCTGGCATCCCACCGCCATCCCAGGTGTCCCACCACAATCCCTGGTGTCCTGCAGCCTACCCCTGACATCCCACCGTTACCTCCTCATGTGCCACCGCTCCCTGCTGTCCTATCATTGTTCTCTCCTGATGTCCCCCATCTGCCCCCTGATGTCCCACCACCATCCCCTGCCGCCTCGCCCCGCTCCCGACACCCCCCTCCCGCCCCACCTCTGTCCCCGCTGTCCCCTGACGTGCCACCACCGCTCCCTGCAGTCCCAGCCCCGTCCCCCGCTGTCCCCGCGGACCTTGACGCTGAAGGTGATGGCCTCCATGACGAAGATGCGGTCCGGGAAGGTGCTGGCCACCTCCTCCACGCTGTTGAAGTACTGCACGGGCTCTCGGATGTCCCGGTCCTGGTCCAGCAGCTTGAACTTCCCTGCGGGGTCCCCCAATCCCACGCAGGTGAGAGGAGCCCGGCTGCAGCACTTGTCCCAGGGACTGCTGTCACCCCCCTCGGGCCACCACAGCCCCTCTCGGGGGGGGCAACCACCCTGAGGACGGCCTGGGGTCCCCCCCACACCTCTGGGGACATTCCTGCGGGGACCCCAGAGCATCCCCCGTCCCTGCAACCCCCACAGCAGCACCCGGGGGGGCTCTGGGCGGGCACACGGGGTGTCTTGGCAGTGCCACTCGTCATCCCCGGAGCTGCAGGGCCCCCCAAAAGTGTCCCTGTGGGTGGAGGGACTCAGAGCGGCCAAAATTGCAAGGGGTGCCCGTTACCCCCGAGAAACCCCAAACTCGGGTCCCAGCCCCGCCAGGGCACAGAACCCCCGCTCTGCCCCACGCCTCGGGTGGGAGGGGACCTGGGAGGGGGCCCGGGGGCTCTGCAGCGGGAGGGAGAGGCAGGAGCAGGAACGGGGGGAGCAGCGGCCGCAGCCAAAGCGCCGCCGGCGGCATCGGCTGGCGGGGACGGACCTGAGGGGAATATTAATCCCCCCTGCCCGCGCCAGGCCGCTGCCCCTCGCCGGGGAGCCGGGCACGGCTGCCCCTCGCAGGCCCCGGGGCACACGCGAGCGCCGAGGCTGCAGCGGGGGCAGCCCCCCATGCCGGGCACGGCAGAGCCCCCCCAAGGCTGTTAACGCAGTGCCCTCCCCTCCTCATCCCCCGGGTCCGGTGATTGACCCCTCCCCCGCTCCACTGCCCATCATTTATTCATTAGCAGGACTCATCACCGCCCGCCGCCACTTACAGGGGTCGG